CCTCCCACATCAGCCTCTCAAAACACTGGGATTGTAGGCACGAGTCACTGTGCCTGGCCTGGCATTAGGGTCTTAAGCTCATTTTGTTCTGTTCCTTGAGTCATAATTTGGCCAGAACAATTAGTATTCATAAGTGGCAACCTAAATTAAGCATGTGATTCATATCCAGGATAAGGCAAGTTCTCTTAGGATCAACAGAGCCCACGAGGCAAAGGCTTCCTCTAGTTGGCCTAAATATGGGTTTATTACAGCCTGTGTGACCACCTGTGTAGATAGATAAGGAGATGAGAGGGCCATAGGACGTTTGCCTAATGGCCTGTATGCTTTTTCACGTGCATTTTTTCAGGTTGAAATCATCAGTTAATTCAGCAATTTTCTTTTCTTTCTTTTTTTTTTTTTTGAGACAGAGTCTGGCTCTGTTGCCCAGGTTGGAGTGCAGTGCATGCAATCTCGGTCCACTGCAACCTCTGCCTCCCAGGTTCAAGTGATTCTCCTGCCTCAGCCTCCCCAGTAGCTGGGATTACAGGCACCCACCACCACGCTCAGCTAATTTTTGTCTTTTAATAGAGACAGGGTTTCACCATGTTGGCCAGGTGGGTCTTGAACTCCTGACCTTGAGTGATCTGTTGGCCTCAGCCTCCCAAAGTGCTGGGATTATAGGCATGAGCCACTGCATCTGGCCAATTCGGCAAATGTATGTGGGATTCCACCTAGAACTCCAAACCAAGGTACTCTGAATATGTATCAGGTAGTATAAAGAGTATCCACAGTCCCTACTCCGGATTATAACCTCGTTAGGGAGGTAGCAAAGTACATGACAATGACCTAAGAACACGTGAAAAGCAAAGAAACATGAATGTGATGTGGGCTGTTTAAACACTGAGAAAGATGAATATAATCTGCATCTGTCCTACTGACCTTTAATGAGTGAGTCACTTGTCTCTCTCCTCCAGTAGACATGACTAGGCATGACCCATACAGTATTGACCTTTGTATTCCCAGCACCAAACAAAGTGACACAGAGAAGACATCCCACAAATGCTGAATAAAACACTTAATGAATGGTTCTAGGTAGGGGGGGTTAATCAAGGAATTATCCTACAAGTGATATGGGTTTTTTGGGTTTTTCTGAGATGGGGTCTCACCATGTTGCCAGGCTGGTCTCAAACTCCTGGCCTCAAGTTATCCTCCTGCCTTGATCTCCCAAAGTGCTGGGATTACAGGTGTGAGCACCTGTGCCCAGCCTCTGTTTTAATAAAATTTTTTCCTGATTGTAAAAGCAAACAGATAGAGAATTCATACAGTACTAAAGAAAATATACATTATCTTGGTCCATACATCTAGAAAAAAAAATCACTGTTATTGTTTCCTTCTACATTTTTTTTTTTGTGTGTGAGATGGAGTCTCTGTTATCCAGGCTGGAGTGCAGTGGTGCAATCTTGGTTTACTGCAACCTCTGCCTCCTGGGTTCAAGTGATTCTCCTGCCTCAGCCTCCTGAGTAGCTGGGATTACAGGTGCGCACCACCATGCCTGGCTAATTTTTTTTTTCAGTAGAGACGGGGTTTCACCATGTTGGTCAGGCTGGTCTTAAACTCCTGACCTTGTGATCTGCCTGCCTTAGCCTCCTAAAGTGCTGGGATTACAGGCATGAACCACCGAGCCCGGCATCCTTTTTTTTTTTTTTTTTTTTTGAGACAGAGTCTTGCTCTGTCACCCAGGCATGATCTCAGCTCACTATAACCTCCCATTCCTGGGTTCAAGCAATTCTCGTGCCTCAGCACCTAAGTAGCTGGGATTACAGGCATGTGCCACCACACCTGGCTAATTTTCGTATTTTTAGTAGAGGCATGGTTTCACCATGTTGGCCAGGCCGGTCTTGAACTCCTGGCCTCAGGTGGTCCACCTGCCTCTGCCTTCCAAGGTGCTGAGATTACATGTGTTAGCTAGCCACTGCGCACAACCTAGTCTTTTTTTTTTTTTATAGAACAGTTATCTCTGTAGCCAAACTTATATCACATTATTTTATTTTCCCTGATTCTGTATTAAAGGAAAGGTCATATTATTTTTAATGTCTGCAGCATATTTCATTGATGGGCATTTAGAGTGTTTCCGTTTTCTATCATAGATACTGCTTTAACGAATACATTTTGTTTATATTGTTCCAAGAACATTTCCTCGGGTTACATTTCTAAACGTGGAATTATTGGGAACATCTTTTTTTTTCTAATTTTTTTTCATCTCTTCAGTATTTAAAGCATTCTTAAAATTCTATATAAAGTCGTCAAACAATTTTTTCCAAGAAAGTTTAACAACTTACATTTCTACCAGCTGTATGAGAGCTTTTCCCTCACTGCACCGTCACTATAGGAGAAGTCGTTTATGTAAGGACTTCTCCTCTGTTATTTAATAGCCATGAATTTCTTATATAATTGTAATCAGTGAATCCATACTACTTTGGGCTCTGCTTATTTCACAGGGAAGGATTCTATCCCTGTCCATATAGTTCACATTCTGGCCATTTAAAATCATTCTTTAATTCTTCATTGTGTTAACAGATCCCAATAAGCTTGTCAGGGCTTGGGGTTCTTTCCAGTTTTTGCTATGAAATTAACTATTTCTGCATCTTTGCTCAGTCTCCCCTACTTTATCAAGAGTGAAACTGCTTGATCAAAGAATACAAATTATTTTTGTAGCTCTGGTTAGATATTGCCAAGCTGTTGGGCAAGGTTTTTATTTTCTTATTGTTTTTATTTATTTATTTAGAGGCTGTCTCTCACTCTGTCACCCAGGCTGGAGTGCAGTGGCACGATCTCAGCTCACTGCAACCTCTGCCTCCTGGGTTCCAGCGATTCTCCTGCCTCAGCCTCCTGAGTAGCTGGGATTACAGGCGCACGCCACCACGCCCAGCTAATTTTTGTATTTTTAGTAGAGACGGGGTTTTCACCGTGTTGACCAGGCTGGTCTTGAACTCTGGACCTTGTAATCTGCCACCTCCACCTTCTAAAGTGCTGGGATTACAGGCACTTGTGCACCCGACCTGAGCAAGGTTTTTTAAAAAGGAATATTGGCTGTACAGGGGTGCAGCTGTGTGGACCATCTTTCTTGAGCAGAGACCAGTAGCCTGGCATGTCACCTGGTGTCAGAACATCTACATTTCCCTATGGAAACTTGGAAAGTCCCTTCCCCATTCCAAACCTCAGTTCTCTTATTTATAAAATGAAGAATTTGAATGGAATGAATTGAGATCCGTTGCTACCAGAAATCTAGCCGTATCCACCTAATCTGTTCTGTATCACCTTCTCCTGACTCATAGGGGCTGAGAGTCCAGTGCAGTCCTTGGGACAGTTATGCTTCCTTTCAAGTGTCCAAACACTAGTGTAATCAGAGGGATAGCAGAGCCTGGGAGTTCAGCACGGGCCAGGGTCAAATCTCAGCCCTCCACTTACAAGCTGTGTGACAAAATAACCAAAATTTTTCACTAATGCGGTTAATAGTTCCTACCCGATAGCGTTGTTAGAAGAATTCAATGAGTTAAGGTTTGCAGAATGCTGAGGCACACAGTAAGTGCTTTAGAAAGTGTTTGTTGATATAAACCCAGTAAGTAATGTTGCAGCACTGTTTACAATAGCAAAGACCTGGAACCAACCCAAATGCCCATCGATGATAGACTGGACTGTGAAAATGTGGCACATATACACCATGGAATACTATGCAGCAATCAAAAACGATGAGTTCGTGTCCTTTGTAAGGACATGGATGAAACTGGAGAACATCATTCTCAGCAAACTGACACAAGAACAGAAAATGAAATACCACATATTCTCACTCATAGGCGGGTGATGAAAAATGAGAACATATGGACACAGGGAAGGGAGTAGTACACATCGGGGTCTATTGGGGGTAATGGGGAGGGACAGCGGGTGGGGGGAGCTGGGGAGGGATAGCCTGGGGAGAAATGCCAAATGTGGGTGAGGGGGAGGAAGGCAGCAAAACACACTGCCATGTGTGTACCTATGCAACTGTTTTGCACGTTCTGCACATGTACCCCAAAACCTAAAATGCAATAAAAAAGAAAAAAAAAAAAAAAGAAAGTGTTTGTTGAATAAACTTTGGACCTAAACTCTGGGTCTCTTCAGGACTGCAACAGCTTCATAACTGGCACCCCCACTTTTGGGTGCGTTCCCACTCCTCTTCCAAAACCCAGAGATCTGAATGCCAAATCTCTCTGCTTCAAGGACTGGGCCCAGGACTCCCAGGCGCCTCCAGGCGAGAACAAAAATGCCTCAGCTTGAAGACCCAGGCTTTTCAGGTGGAACACCTAGAGGTCAGGAGATGGCTAGCATCATTATTCAAGGATCCCAGTGAATTTTTCAAAACATAATAAAAATAAAAACAAAAAAAGGCAAATAGGATTATAAAAATTGTGGGGCATTTTAAATGTGGTATTGAACACATTAAAGTATTAACAGCCCTCCCCCAACCATCACTAAGCCCAAGAAACCCTGATTCTTCTGTTCACAAGATAACTGCAACTCCAAGGCTCTTAGGCTGCTACTTCGGTTGACACAATTGGCGGGACGACGTGGCGAGCAGACGGGAGTCTCCATCCCTGGAGGGTCAGCGTCTGGAGAACCCGGCGAAGGCAGCCACAGCGTCGAGACGACGCCCCCAGGACAGCTACAACCGCCCGGAAAGCCCCGTGCCCGGAAAAGCCTCAGCCCCTTCGGCCACCCCGCAGCCCCAGCCCCTCAGTCTATCCACTCCTGGCGCGCAGCTCCGCCTGACCCGGCCCGGCCCCGCTTCGCAACCAGGGCCTCCACGGGAACCGCTATTCCCCCAGCGGCGCCCGCTGGAAGCCCAACGCCGCGACGCCCGTCTGACGTCAGGAAGAGGAAGCCGGCGGCGACGTCTTTAGGGAACCCGCGAGGGGGCGCGCGATGGCGGCGCCGCTGTGTGTAGACCAAGACCCACCGCGGGGCGGAGTCTCGCGCGCCCGCGCCACGAGGCTCGGCCAATGGGAATGCGCGCTGCGAGGCCAGGAGGTCTGCGCCGCGAGGCTGAGAACCCCGCGCGCAGGCGGGGGGCTCTGGGCGCGCTCCAGCAAACCTTCCTGGAGCCCGCGGGTCCCGAACCCTCCCGGGCCGGCGCGGCGTCGCCCAGCCAGCCATGGCCCCCGACCCGGTGGCCGCCGAGACCCCGGCCCAGGGGCCTACCCCGCGCTACTTCACCTGGGACGAGGTGGCGCAGCGCTCGGGATACAAGGAGCGGTGGCTTGTGATCGACCGTAAGGTGTACAACATCAGCGAGTTCACCCGCCGGCACCCAGGGGGTTCCCGGGTCATCAGCCACTACGCCGGGCAGGATGCCACGGTGAGCGCAGCCAGGCTGGGGCACGGGAGAGGGCGGGGCCGAAGGCTGAGTGCAGGCGAGACAAAGTTACGCACCCTAAGGCGAACACCGACTAATCCGGAGGAAAGCCCGGAGGCGCCCGAGCACACCTGTGGCCCAGTGGGTGGGTGTCCCGCGGCCCGGGGATGCAAGGGCGGGAGAGAGGCCTGAGAAGTGGAGTCTGGGGAGTGGGGATGGAGGACAACAACACGCACACTCAAACAAAGGGCCCCGCCGCCCGGCCGCACATTCCGTTTGCAGCACGGAGCCTCGGGTCTCGGGGCGGGGATAGGATCCCCCGCTAGGTGAGCCAGGAAGGAGAAGAGCAAGGATGTCGGGCGCCTGGGGAGGAGGGGTCAATGGCTGTGGGAGGGAGTCACGTCTTGTCTCGATGGCTAGGAGGGGCAGCGCAGCCGCGTCTGGACCTGGGTCCCGGGCTCCACTCGCGAGCAAGGGCGGTGAGGGAGCAGGAGAGGAGCCAATTCTCGAGGATGGGGCTGAAACGGGAAACCTGGGGACCCCGTTGCCTTGGGGACCCCTGCGTCGGGTGAAGACTGGAGGACGCGGAAGGGACAGCACTGGCCAGGGAGGGCAAGCGGCGGCTGGTGCACAGAAGGTATTGAGAATGGCATACACTTAGCGAGGACCCCCGGAGCAGCCCTCGAATCTCCGGGGAGGCCACTGAGCCGCAGGCCAGCGAGGTCTTCAGCTATTCCGCCGAACGGACCGCTGTTTACACTCCGGGGCGGTAGACCCTTCGCGGGATCAAGTCCCTTCCTCCCTTGGTCTCACTGCGGGGTCGGCGCGCGCCGGAGCCCCGGGCCTGCTGCTGCTTTTTCTGGACCACAGCCGTCAGAGCTGAGGGCCCGGCACCCCTGCTGGCTTGAGTGCTAGGGACTCAGCCCTAGGGACTCCAAAGTCTGGGCGTTTGCTTCACCTCGTTTCCCCCTTGGCGGCCAGAATGGCGTCCCCTCCCCTTGTATCCCTCTCTGATCCGGTGCCCTGCAGCGTGACACCCTCCACTGTCCCTATCCATTACCCTGGCGTCCCAGAGTGTGCCGTGGGTCACCAGGGTTCCCTTAACATCGCAGCAGAGCTTAGATGCTGCGGGGCGAAAGCCCGCCCCACCCTCTGACGCGACCAACCTAGTGGGCGAGGCCAGGGCCTGTGCAGGTCACCCCGAGTGACCACTCGGGAGCCCAGAAAGCGGCCGAGGGCGCAGGCGTGGGCCAGCGCATGCGCAAACGCACCAGGCACCGACGCTGGGGCTTCCCGCAGTGAGATTTGGGGCCGGGGATGCCGCGGCGGGGACGGCGATTGGTCCGGATGCGTGGTGCCACCGGCCGCCGGCTCCGCCCTGGACCCCGCCCCACAGGCCTCATCACCTATAGGGTCTGGGGCTGCCAGACCTGTGGACCTGAATCTTATCGCCGTGGACCTTACCTTGCACAACGCAAATTAGCTCCCTCAGGCCATGGGGTGGCCAGAGTGCTTGGGAAATATGGGGCCCTATTCAGAACAACGGTGGAGGGACGGGGAAGAAATGCAGAAGTGCCCCAGTTCAGATGTAGGGAAGTCTTCGCAGTTTTTGGAAAACCCTAGCTCAGAAAGGGAAGGGACTTGTTAAAAGTCCACAAGAAGAGACGGGAGTCTCATAGCGCCGCCCGTCCCTCCAGTTTCTCACCTATACTGAAATTCTTGGGCAAAAGTTCAATGCGAACACACCCAGGGGAAAGGCCAGTCCAGGCAGGTGTTTCTTGGTGGTCCCCCTCAGCTTCCCATTCCTTGATGCACCCTTCTAACTAGAGCAGATGCTGGGTGATCTTGAACTGTAGACACCTGGGAAGGGTATGAGCACCCTTAAAAGGCAGCTTGGCCGAGAGAGGTGGCCTGTGCTTCACCCTGGGTATAGCCTTATGGTGGGCAGGAGGATGGCCTTTGGTGCGAACCCTGCCAGAGTCCAGGGGGCTGGCTCCCTCACCATTCATCTCGCCCCCAACTTGCAGGATCCCTTTGTGGCCTTCCACATCAACAAAGACATTGTGAAGAAGTATATGAACTCTCTCCTGATTGGAGAACTGTCTCCGGAGCAGCCCAGCTTTGAGCCCACCAAGAATGTGAGAGCCTGTGTTTGCTATGTGGCGACTCTTGGTTGTTGAGGGAGACAGGGAGTGGGTAGAAGGAGCGTCTAGCTGGGATCACAGGTAATCACATTCATTAGTAGTTCTGGGGAGTCTGAGGTCCCTGCTTCTCTTGCATAGTCATGAGGTCACCCGCCCAAGGGAGGAAGGCTTTGCAAGCTATGGCTTCCCCAAGGCTGCCCCTACCATGGCTGCCATCATTGTTATCATCATCAATATGAGCACTTACTGTGCGCCAAGCACTCATAACTCTCACACATTTACAGATAACAGGCTCAGAGAGGTTAAGCAACAGTCAAGGATCACACCGTTAGGAAATGGCAGAGCAAGGACTGAAGTCAGCTGAACTCTTAGGCACTATCCCATAGCACTTCCTCCTGTCATCCTCATTGTTGTGGTGTCTTTGCCTAGGACTGTGGACTTCCCACAGCTACCTCAGTGGGAGGTCCTTGAGCCTGAGAGGGCCCTTGTCTCCAGCAGTGCTGGGCTGCAGATGGGAAGAATAACAGCTCTCCCTCCTCTTCTGCAGAAAGAGCTGACTGATGAGTTCCGGGAGCTGCGGGCCACAGTGGAGCGGATGGGGCTCATGAAAGCCAACCATGTCTTCTTCCTGCTATGCCTGCTGCACATCTTGCTGCTGGATGGTGCAGCCTGGCTCACCCTTTGGGTCTTTGGGACGTCCTTTTTACCCCTCCTCCTCTGTGCAGTGCTGCTCAGTGCAGTTCAGGTGAGAGCCTTTGACTTGTCAAATGCACAGCAATGCTCAGCATCCCTGGGGAAAGTTCCTTGGGCACTTGGAGGAAGGCCAGGAAGCCCTGCCCTCCAGGTAGGTGTGTGGGAGAGTGAGGGCAGAAACATGCATTCCACTGTCTTGACCTGTCTCGGCTCTTTAGCCACATGGGCATCTTCATTTCTCTCACTGCTTTTTTAGCTGCTTCTCCCAGGGTTCCTTTCTCCCTACACGGTTTGTTCTCTAAAATTTCACACGCGGTTTGCTCTCTGCCACAGTACAACTGTGCCAAGAATTAAGTTTCCGGTTCTTAATAAAACTTGGCTCCCTCCCCACCACTGACATTACCCAACATGTTAATAATGATTGAGCGCTAATTCTTGGCTGTCAGAACCCATTTGGCAAGGCTTCTGCTCATGTTTGAGTTCTTTCTGTATTCTGGATGTCATTCCATCATAAACCATGAGCTTCAGGCTATAATCCCAGCACTTTGGGAGGTCAAGGTGGCTAGATCACTTGAGACCAAGAGTTTAAGACCAGCCTGGCCAACGTGGTAAAACCTGTACTGAAAATACAAAAAGGCCATGTACAGTGGCTCAAACCTGTAATCCCAGCACTTTGGGAGGCCGAGGCGGGTGGATCATTTGAGGTCAGGAGTTCAAGATCAGCTTGGCCAACATGGTGAAACCCCGTCTCTACTAAAAATACAAAAATTAGTTGGGCATGGTAGTAGGTGTCCATAATTCCAGCTACACAGGAGGCTGAGGCAGGAGAATTGCTTGAAATGGGAAGCAGAGGTTTCAGTGAGCTGAGATGGCACCACTGAACTCCAGCCTGGGTAACAGAGCAAGACCCTGTCACAAAAGAAATAGACCAGGTCCAGTGGCTCACGCCTGTAATCCCAGCACTTTGGGAGACCAAGGCTGGTGGATCACCTGAGGTCAAGAATTTGAGACCAGCTTGGCCCCGTCTCTACTAAAAATACAAAAAAAAATTAGCCAGATGGCCGGGCGCGGTGGCTCAAGCCTGTAATCCCAGCACTTTGGGAGGCCGAGGCGGGTGGATCACGAGGTCAACAGATCGAGACCATCCTGGTCAACATGGTGAAACCCCGTCTCTACTAAAAATTACAAAAAGTTAGCTGGGCACGGTGGCGCGTGCCTGTAATCCCAGCTACTCAGGAGGCTGAGGCAGGAGAATTGCCTGAACCCAGGGGGCGGAGGTTGCGGTGAGCCGAGATTGCGCCATTGCACTCCAGCCTGGGTAACAAGAGCGAAACTCCGTCTCAAAAAAAAAAAAAAAAAAAAAAAAAAAATTAGCCAGATGTGGTGGCGAGCACCTATAATCCCAGCTACTCAGGAGGCTGAGGCAGGAGAATTACTTGAACCTGGGAGGCAGAGGCTGAGCTGAGCTGAGACCGCACCCTTGCACTCTGTTCCGACTGGGGAAACAAGAATGAAACCCATTCTCAAAAAAAAAAAAAAAGGGTCATGAGCTTCAGAGCTGGCAAAACTGAAGAATGGAGAAGGGATTGTGATTTGCCCCAACCCACATGTGAGTCAGTGGCAGAGGCAGAGCTAGAACCCATGTTTCCTGACTCCTGAGGTGCATCACAGGCCTTGGCAGATGAGGAAAGTGGGAGAGACTGAAGGAGGCATCAAGGTCAGTAAAGGGGACACTGGGACTGGTGGGCTGCTCTCAGCATTGACTCTTCTCACCCAGGCCCAGGCTGGCTGGCTGCAGCATGACTTTGGGCACCTGTCAGTCTTCAGCACCTCAAAGTGGAACCATCTGCTACATCATTTTGTGATTGGCCACCTGAAGGTCAGTGGGATGGCAGGGAGGGGCTCTCTGAAACTCCAGGCAATGAAAGGCTGCCTGTGGGGAAGGGCCACTAGGTTTTCATACTCATTTCCCTGCTCTTCTGTAGGGGGCCCCCGCCAGTTGGTGGAACCACTTGCACTTCCAGCACCATGCCAAGCCCAACTGCTTCCGCAAAGACCCAGACATCAACATGCATCCCTTCTTCTTTGCCTTGGGGAAGATCCTCTCTGTGGAGGTGAGTGGAGGTATCACTGGAAAGGGCTTGGGGAATAGGAGGCAGCCAGCAGGAGGGGTTTGGGGGAGATGCCCACAATGTTGTCAGTGTGGGTAAGACACTGGGGGCTGGGCTGGCTGGGGCTTTTGCCATTTTGGAAGTTCTGGAAGGCAACAGGCAATAAATGGGGGCTGCCCAGGAGGGAATCACCATCCTCCCTAGAGAGTTCAGTCAGCAAACAGTTACTGCATAAAAGGCACCACTGCAAAGTAAAAGGCATAAAAGGCATCCTTCTACAAAGGATCCAGAGGATGGCCAACGTCCTCTGGCCAACATGGTAAAACCCGTCTCTACTAAAAATACAAAAATTAGCCGGATCCAAAGGATGAGATGCCTCATCCTTGAAGGTGCTGGTGGCACCTCCTGGGGGTGCTTTTTCGACACTCCTGCCCCAGGTAAGCATTCCCCTTGCACTTTATATTTCTCTCTCACACTTAGGTACCCTACTTGTCACAGTCTTCTCTGTCCAGGGCTGAACTGTCTTAGTCTTCTTTGATGTCCAGAGTCTGGAACATTCATTCACTGAGTACTTCTTCCCACCCTCCTGATCCCAGCCTGACTTCCAGGGTGGTCAGCATTGGGTTTGAGTTGTCATCGGAGGTTATGAACGGAAATAATGTAGCTGCTGAAGGAATAATGCCTGGGGGCAGAGATCTGGTGAGCTTTTAGTGAGCGTTAGCCAATGGAAGGTTCTGAAAAGCCAGCAGAGTTCTTTGGAAAGTTAATTTAAAGCCCTTTGTTCCAAGGCTCCAGGCTGTAGAGTTCTGCCAGGTCCCCCTCCTCCACTTTGTGACACTTTAGCTTGCCAGGAATTAAACTGTTGTTAAAACCCATTTCAGTTCTAGGCATGAGTTCTCAGGGCTCTCCTCTCGCCCCTGGCCATGAGAACTTTGAAAGAGCTTTGGCAGCGCTGGCTGGCCTGGCATGAGGAGCTCATAGCTTGAGGCTCATGCTCCACCTGTCCATAGTGTTCTTATTATTCCCATCTCATGAGCATGGACTTGGGTTTGTTACGTGTTCAACACCGTTATGGTCCATAGTATGTGGATGGTGAAGCAGCCCTGCCCCCCGTCTGGTCAGGTGGCTGCTTCAAAGACGGTTTGGTTATTTACTGGACAGTAGCATGGAGGTTGTGCATTTCTACTGTCACTACATAGGGTTTTAAAAAAAGACCTGGGGCCAGATGTGGTGGCTCATGCCTGTAATCCCAGCACTTTGAGAGGCAGAGGCAGGCAGATCACAAGGTCAGGAGTTCGAGACCAGCCTGACCAACATGGTGAAACTCCATCTCTACTAAAAATACAAAAATTAGCCGGGTGTGGTGGCATGTGCCTGTAATCCCAGCTATTCCAGAGACCGAAGCAGGAGAATTGCTTGAACCCGGGAGGTGGGGATTGCAGTGAGCTGAGATTGCACCACTGTACTCCAGCCTGGCAACAGAGCAAGACTTTGTCTAAAAAAAAAAAAAGGAGCTCCATCCATTTTTCCTCCTTGAATGGCACAATGCCTTTATGATCCCTGTAACTTAGACTCTTCGTGATCAGAAGGATTCTATTTAGGGCAGTGTCCCCTGCCCCCGCTTGTCCTCCAGGAATTTTGAGAGGCACTGACATGGATGTCACGGGGTCAGCACAGGCATCAATATTCACAGAGGGATGGAACCAAGCAGCCTATTGCCCAGGCATTCACTAATGGGCAGCCTATCCTCAGCCTCATAGCTGGCAGGGGGGAAGAAAGGCTATTTTGGGTCCCAAATCTTTTTTTTTCCCCTAAGATGGAGTCTCGTTCTGTTGCCCAGGCTAGCTTAAATATTTTCTCTCTATCTAGGCCCTAATCCTCTCCATCCAAATCTTTTGGTCTCTTGACTTCAGCATGAGCTTTATCAAATCCCCTCGAGGCTAATGAGAGTTTGGCAAATGTTTCTGGGGACACCAAGAACAATTTGGCCATTTGAAGGTTCCGGCAGTTGTACTCCCAGCTTACAAGTACTCACAAGACAGCAAAGCTGTGTAAGCTGGGATTACAGGCATGAACCACTGCACCGGCCTCTGTTTACAAATTTATCACCAGCTGCATCGCCTCAGTTACAAGCTCCATGAGGGTGGGAAGTCTGTACTGTTCACCCCTATAGCCTAAGCATCTAGAACATTGCCTGGCACACAGTAGGTACTTAAGTAGTACTTGAATCTGTTAATGTAGAAAGGATGCTTCATCTAGCTGAGAGGACTTGCACAGAATAAGCTCTCAATAAATGAGCTGTGGACACATGGAAGGGTGTGTAGAGTCCTGCTTAGGGACTGGGTGCTCCTCTTGTGCCCTTGTGGTTGTCTAGTTACCTGAGCTGATGGGAGGCGATGCAGACATAGTCATGGAGTGAGACAGCAGAGCTTTGCTCTTGTTTGTGAGCCCACGCCAGGGGTCCTAGGCTGGTTGGTTGACCTGGTGGCCCCAGCCTGTGTCTTCAGCAGCTTGGCTTATAAAAAAATAAACACCACCTACTAGAGAAAACTGCTGGGACCTTCAGATTGCCAGATTGTTCTTGGTGTCCCCAGAAGTATTTGCCAAACTCAAATTAGCCTTAAAGAGATTTGATAAAGCTCATGTTGAAGTCAAGAGACCAAAAGATTTTGGTGGAGAGAATTAGGGCCTGGATACAGATGGAATAGTTAACCTGGATAGGGGTAAATATGGTTGTCCATGGAGATTCTGATGTCAAAAAAGTACCAGATGGCAGAAAGGGGAGAGGGCAGTGGGGCCTGGAAACCTCATGACAAAGAGGGTGAACACGAGGGCCTGCGGTCCTGTATAGCCTGCGCTGTGCACATCCCTCATGAGCATGGACCGTCCGGCTGCAGGCCGTGGTGTGACAGGCTCTGCAGATGATAGCCCAGGGCTTCATGTTCCATGTGCTAGCGGTAAGGCTGAGCCTGTTGGAGCTTTCTAATAGCACCAACAAGCTGTCAGCCCTGGAGGAGGCCGAAACTTCCAAGTGGGGAAAGGCCAGGGTCACTGAGGGAGGGGGATGGATTGCTGGTCTCTGAATGCTGATTGGTTTGCTTTTCTTCACAGCTTGGAAAACAGAAGAAAAAATATATGCCCTACAATCACCAGCACAAATACTTCTTCCTGAGTGAGTGTCCCCCTCCAATACAGGGGAGCTGCTTCAGGTGGGAATGCTAAGGGAATGAGGAGGATGTGGCTCTCTGAGGGATTACGGTATTTTAAGGAAAGGGGCTGGAGGAAGTACCCCCACCCCCAGTTACTCCCTGCATGAGAGCAGTTTGCCATCTCAATTGAGTGAAGTGAACACTTAGGCTGATGTTTGGTTGAAGGTCATTTGGTTGAGGGCAAACTAGTTCCTCCTATCCAACCCCAGTTTCTACTAAGAAGCTGGGTGTTTGGGGCATAGAGGGGCCTCTTGCTTTATCCTTCAACCTTAAACTTTGTCACACAGAGACCTGGGCCAAGGTGACCTGGTAGAGCCCAGTCCAGCCCCCCGGAGGAACAAAGGTACCAGTAGTTCTGGAAGGATGGGTCCTGAGGAGAGAGTGGAAGAGCTGTTAGAACTGAGAAGACCTTTCTGATGACTGCTATATTGCTGTATATCCCCGGCTTTTAAAGTCTATCCCAGCTACTAGGGAAGTTAAGGTGGGAGCATCCCTTGAGCCCAGGAGTTTGAGGCTGCAGTGAGCTCTGATTGTGCCACTGCACTCCAGTTGGACAACAGAGTGAGATCCTGTCTCTTAAAACAACAACAACTCTGCTCCCTAATGCCTAAAATGAGCTTTAAACTCCTTTAAAATTTCAAATCTTTTGCAGAAGGAAGGGAAGGAGCCCACTGATCTTATTTTAGTTTGAAGGAATTATTCTAACTGCCTATCACCAACTATCACTAATACAGAAAGGTGGCTGAGGCAGAGGGTAGAGCAGAGACCTCTGGGAAAAATAATTTTAGAATCCATGGCATATCACGATGGAGGAGCCATGATGGGCATTGTCATGCTAGAGGTTATAGGTAGCATTAGGTGCCACAGAGAAGGGATACAGAAAGGGACATGAGGCAGCATGTAGAATGCAATACTTCAACTCCCAGTTTTCTTTCAAAAGAGGCCCCTCTGTTCCTTCCCACAACTGACCTCCAGGACTTCAGATTGGGGTGGCACAAGCCCATCTCTCCAGTCTAAGGAGCTGAGCTTCACAGCCTGTGAAGGATCCGCAGGGTCCCTCCCAACACACACACACACACACACACACACACACACACTTTCCTGTTCCTGCTCCTGCCCCTTCACCTGCATGGTGGAGCAGCCAGGAACAAAGGGCAGATAACTGCAACGACAGGGCTGTGGCCAAGGTAACTCAGAGAGCATTAGCACCCTTTTAAAGGCATGGGATCCACAGAGTGTGTATGTAGAAAAGAGAATAAAAATGAAAAATAATAGGTGTGGGAGTAGAGCAAGTCCCATGCCTGGGGCCTGAGTTCCCAAGGTGCCAGTCACTGAAGAGTGCCACTCGCACCCCTCACCTTCCCTGGCATCGTCTTGGGAGCTTTTGCCTTCCAGACTTGGATTTATGCCCACCTTCAGTGCCCGCTGGTTCCAGTGGATTGCAGAGGGCTCAGATGGCTGGAGGAGAGACAGGAAGGGATAAATGGAAGAGGCAAGCCCCTGCTAGAGGCCATCTCTCCAGCATCCACTGGCCCTTTCGTGACCTTACTGTGCTCATGCTGCCTCTTTGTCTCGGCTTCCTCTCCAGTTGGGCCCCCAGCCTTGCTGCCTCTCTACTTCCAGTGGTATATTTTCTATTTTGTTATCCAGCGGAAGAAGTGGGTGGTGAGTATCCATGGCCCAAGAAGCCCACGTCCTTGTCTCCAGCACCCATAGTGGGGGATGGGGGTTCCCCAGGGCAAACTGAGACTGACTACAGGCCTAATTTAGAGCCAAATAATCGAACCAGGAACAGATCCTCCTAAGCTCTAAGTGGGACAGAATGATTTGAGCTTAGCAGGCAACCTGATTCCCAATGTGCGATTCCATGCAGCCAGCATCTCCTGAGGTGCTTGTGCTGGCATAATGCCAGGGGCTAGGCTGGGCACAGGGATAGTGAATGAGACAATACTGACTTTCAAGGAAACTTCCGATGAAGCAGAATGTGGTTGTTAATGGAAAGGAGATACAGGCAATAGGTTCTGGGGACTCCAAAAGGGGCCTGACTGCACCTGGCTTTCTGAAGTCACTGTTCTAGCCAGCCTAGAGGCTGGGCAGGGTTTCTGACAGGCAGAGGTGGGGCAGTGGGGATGAACTCGAAGCAGAGAAACTGGAAATGAGGGGTAAGATTGAGCACCAGACATCATGTGGGGGATTCAGGTGTCGGGGAAGAGTATGGTGCTTGGCTCAATGTACAGAAAAGTGATGAGATGTGACCAGGGCGCTGGCATGGACTGAGCCATGGTCCTGGGAGAGTCACTCGGTGGCATGCTGAAGGACTTAGATGGGCTGGGAAGAGCGAGAGGCAAGGAGACCGTGTAGGCCTTGGTACTTTTGAAGGGGATAGGCAAGAAGGGCTGGGGGTGCCAGTGGGAATGGAAGAAAGGAGCAGTGGCATTAGATATTGCAGGATTGGACCCCTGAGAAGCTGAAGATGACTGAGTCTGCACACCCAGAAGAATGGCTGCACCATGCAAAGAAAGAGCTGGTGAGAGGAAGAGGAAGAGCTGTTTGTGACTGTTATGCTCTCTGCTTTTCTCACTAAAGGACTTGGCCTGGATGATGACCTTCTATGCCCGCCTCTTCCTCACTTATGTGCCACTGTTGGGGCTGAAAGGCTGCCTGGGCCTCTTCTTCGTGGTCAGGTAGTATTGGGTGGGGGTGGGTAGGGACTGGTGAAGGAAATGTTGGGGAGTGACCAGTCTGGTCGAGCCATGACCATACCAGGTTTGGGTGTGGTGTCACCAGCCTGGTTAGCCAAGTGGCTTTGAGCTGAGGCTGCCCAGTCTGAGCAAACACCAGTGAGGCTCTATTGAGCCAAGACCAGGTTCCTGTGCTGGGGCTTTGGGTAACGGGTGTTTTGGAAGTTGGCTTGGGAAAGTAGACAGGCTGGAGTAGTTATCTGAGGGGGAAATCAGAACTCTGGGCTCTGTGTCTACTGTTTGTCTGTATAACTTTATCCAACAGGTTCCTGGAAAGCAACTGGTTTGTGTGGGTGACACAGATGAACCACATCCCCATGCACATTGATCATGACCGGAACATGGACTGGGTCTCCACCCAGGTAAGGGACAGTCACTCACAAGACTGGAGGATAACACCACTATTGAAAAGGGTGGGTAGGTGATAAGAGCAAAAACAAAAAAAGTGCCCCAAGCAGCAATTTTTCATTAGATTGAGGCTTTCTTCTGCCACCACTTGAAGGGAGTGACCAAGATAGTCTCGTGTCCCCTTCTCAGCCAGCTTTACCTGGAGAATGCTGGGCTGGCCTTTCCATCTCATACTCAGACATGCTCTCCCCTGACCTTTTCCTCCAGCTCCAGGCAACATGCAACGTCCACAAGTCTGCCTTCAATGACTGGTTCAGTGGACACCTCAACTTCCAGATTGAGCACCAGTGAGTAGGAAGCCTGGGAAGCAGGGTCCTGGGGAGGGTGTAAGTGTTGGGTGCAGGTGGGAGCAGAGAAGCAGGAACCATTGACTCCCCACTGTTCTCCCTGAAGTCTTTTCCCCACGATGCCCCGACACAATTACCACAAAGTGGCTCCCCTGGTGCAGTCCTTGTGTGCCAAGCATGGCATAGAGTACAAGTCCAAGCCCCTGCTGTCAGCCTTCGCCGACATCGTCCAGTGAGTATCTGAGCCCAGGAAGATGGCCGGTAGGGAGGGAAGACGGCAGGGCAATGGAAATGGTGACATGTGGGGTGGGGAGTACCAGGTGTTCCTGGCTGTGTGGGATGGAGTACACCATGGCAAAGGCAGGAATCTCTGTTGGTCCTATGGCCAAGTTAGGCCTTTGTTCTCATTGGGGTTCCCCTCAGTACCACAGCCCAAGCTAACTTTCTCTAAAGTAGAGGAGAGGAAAGCCTCCAGATGAAAGAAGGCCTTAGCCTCAGTGCTCCATCTCTGGTGGGCTCAGCTCCTCCTGTCTCACTGTCTTCCCCTGTTTTGTCCCTGCAGCTCACTGAAAGAGTCAGGGCAGCTCTGGCTAGATGCCTATCTTCACCAATAACAACAGCCACCCTGCCCAATCTGGAAGAAGAGGAGGAAGACTCTGAAGCCAAAGCAGGGGGGAGCTTGAGGGACAATGCCACTACAGTTTAATACTCGGGGGGGGTGGGTTTGGGGACATAAAGGCTCTGACTCAAACTCCTCCCTTTTATCTTCTAGACACAGTTCTAAGATCCAAAGTTGGGGGTGAACACAGAAGTCCCCCAGAAGGAGTGAAGGAGCTGTTGGGGCAGGGGCATAAACAGTTTTTCCCTTTTCTAGTTTGGCACATACAGGTGGTTGGTTAGCAGAGGAAACCAGAAGGGCAGTAGAAAAGGAGGGACCTACCGAACCCAGAGTCAGGAAGAGATTTAACACTAAAATTCCACCTAGGCACGGTGGCACATGCCTGTAATCCCAGCACTTTGGGAGGCCGAGGCGGGCAGATCATGAGGTCAGGAGTTTGAGACCAGCCTGACCAACATGGTGAAATCCCGTCTATACTAAAAATACAAAAATTAGCTGGGCGTGGTGGCAGGCATCTGTAATCCCAGCTACCCAGGAGGCTGAGGCAGGAGAATCACTTGAACCAGGGTGGTGGAGGTTGCAGTGAGCCAAGATCATACCATTGCATTCCAGCCTGGGCAACAGAGTGAGACTCCATCTCAAAAAAAAATTCCACTCATATAAAGGGTGAGCTCAGCTCACTGGTCCACTTCTCAGTGCCTTCTCCATCCTCACTTCCAAGCCTCAGAGGGATAAAAGCAGTTGAACCTGTTGAGCAAGAATTATAATAGAAAGGTAGCATGAATGCTTAGAATTCTGAGGTCTAGCACAACTCAGTGCCTGGGAACTCAGCTCACTGCCCAGGGATAGGTGTGACCTGTGTCTGCCTCAGGTTGGTGGGAGAAGCCATTCTCCAGTTTCAGAAGCAGGCAGGGCAAAGGTCAAGACTTGGCTTCAAAGGATCCTGGAACCACTGATTTTGGTTTATTCCCTCCAGGGTCTAAAGAGAACAAGAGGTGCTAGTTCTTACCAAAACAGATGGTAGAGAGTTGCTGGCTATTGAAAAGCCCCTTCACCTTTTAATTCACCTCTTCTTTTTACCTCTTTAGCCATCCCCCAGGAACAGAACACTCCTAGGACTGGGAGTCTACTTTTAGCTCCATAAGCAAGTGAGCAGATGGGACAACTCAGTCTTTCCTCCCTAGAAACAAAGGAGATGCCTAGTGGTTTCCCTTTGCTTCCCACCTAAAATTCCAAGTTTAATAAAATAGCAGTTAGTGAGCATAAGTGACCAAATTTGGAGATAATTATTGGTCATGAGGAAAGACACACATTTTGGTCATAAATAATGTGAGGGCTATAAGCAGAAACTTTCTATAGCCTAAATGATGTTATAGCATTATTTTTGAGCAGGAGCAGAAAGATTAATATGATCACTTCATAGTTCTAAATCAGAAATAGGAAGACTAAAACCACAGAACAGTTTGTGATTGCTATTGCTGTAGCCAGGTATCTTACTCTTCTGGAGAACAAATGGGCTTGGGAAGAGACTATCCTAAATTCCTATTAGTGTAATACTGAAATATAACTTTTTAATCTTCCGGTTTTTAAAAGATAAATGCAGTTTAGCCCGTACTCCAGAGAGCAAACACAGGAATAGGTCTCAGGAGGCTTCGCTCCTAGGGCTTATCATCAGACCTCATACCCACTTCCCCCTCTAACCTGAGGCCTTTGCTTCCAGGTGAGGGGATTACTTCTTTGCTGCTTCAGCAGCATCTAATCTAGGCATATTGATCATCTGGGACACTGGGAAAAGAGAACCTCAAACTAGTAGACAGAGCCTACATTTAGTTTTGGGAGGGGATGGCAGACAGTCAAGGAGATGAGGGTCCTAAGGCACATTGGGATAGGGTCAGAGGCACCACCCTTGGAGAGGCTAGAGGTTTGTCAACACAAAGACACAGGAAAAGTGGGCTGCAGAAGATTTACATGTTTTCCATTTGGGCACATTTTGCTTAGCTGGAGAACAGCTGGTTTAAAACAGCCTGAGTGGGAAAATCAGAAGCAAGTTGGGCGCAGTGGCTCATGCCTGTGATCCCAATACTTTTGGGAGATGCAGGCAGGAGGATCACTGGGGCCCAGGAGGTCAAGGCTGCAGTGAGCGGAGATCACACCACTGCACTCCAGCCTGGGGTGATAGAGCAAGATCCTGTCTCAAAAAAAAAAGAAAATAAATTAGAAGCAGAATTGAGCTGTATCTCATTGGCTTCCTCTCTCCAAAACAGGTGCTGATGATTCCCATTCCCATTCCTTGCCACCTAAGGTTTGGGTGTGGTGTCACCAGCCTGGTTAGCCAAGTGGCTTTGGGCTGAGGCTGCCCAATCTGAGCAAACACCAGTGAGGCTCTATTGAGCCCAGATCAGGTCCTGAAAGCACTGGAACCACCATGGCCTCTCCTCAGCCTACAGCAGTGTGGTCTCACATGGCCATGAAGGGACACACAGTGACAAAAGGCTCAGAATGTTACAATGGGAAAATGAGTGATCTCCACTGACAGATGTAAAATAGGCCTAGAGAGGAAAAGGTGCCTCTGGTCACACAGATCATGGCAGAACTAATTCCAACTCACTTTTTTTACAACTCCAACTTCTATGTTTATTTTTGTTACTTTCATTTTTTTTACAGCCTGGCCAGAGGCATTTTTTAAAATCAGGCCTGATACCAGTACCCTTTTTCTGTGTGCCAGTTTTGTTATCACATCCTGTTGAAGTTGAAAAATAAAGTTAATTTTGACCAAAAGACTTCATTTGTAGCCCATGATGCTCTTCTGTGTGTACGCAGGATTCCTTGGTGCCTCTGCTACAAGTTACTGTTCACTTCTCTGTGCTCTAACCTCTTGAATCACTGCAGTCCCCCTTTGTGTAAACTCCTTGGGCAGAGGAAGGAACATCAGGACTCCAGAAAACACAAAGCCAAGGGTGGACTATTGCAGGAAAGAGCAACCCAGGTCCTTCTGATGACTCCCGTGCTCGAATGTGAGACTGTCGATAATCTCACCAAGTTTCATGGTATCACTTCCTGCTATTCATGAGGCAGCACCCTTCAGTTTTCCATTTTGAATTATTTTCTCTATTTTTACTTGTTTTCAGACAAGGTCTGGCTCTATGGCCCAGGCTAGGGTGCAGTGGTGCTGCCATCCGAGTTCACTGCAATCTCTGCCTCACAGCCTCAAGCCATCTCCCCAGCTCAGGCTAATTTTTTATTTTTTTTGAGACCAGAGTTTCACTCTTGTTGCCTAGGCTGGAGTGCAGTGGTGCAACCTCCGCCTCCTGGGTTCAAGCAGTTCTGCCTCAGCCTCCCAGGTAGCTGGGATTCCAAACATGTGCCACCACACCCAGCCAATTTTTGTTATTTTTTGAGACAGGGTTTCACCATGTTGGTCAGGCTGATCTTGAACTCCTGACCTCAGGTGATCCACCTGCCTCGGCCTCAAAGTGCTGGGATTACAGGCGAGCCACCGCGCCTGGCCTCTCCTTACTTTTAAACTCATTTCTAGTTTCCAAATAGTCTCCCTAAGCCCTATCTGCCTAAACCTTTCTCTGCAAGTGTGACGCCTCAGAGCTGGACTGCAGAGCAATGCCTCTTAATCATCCAACTAGAACAGCTCTCCTGAGCAAAAACATTTGCAGGCAGCAGGAATTTTCCCTGCAGTGTGCACAGAAGTTAGATTAACTTCTACAGGAGACAAACTTACCTTCAAAAAAACAAAAGGAAAACCACTACCTTCTTGACTACCACAGGGTATAAGCCCTTAATTATTACGAGCTACTGCACTGAAGAAATAACTCCTAAGAAATCTTACCATTTTGCCAGGCACAGTGGTTCATGCCTGTAATTCCAGGACTGGGAGAGAATGGCACACATAATCCTAGCCTTTTGGAGGCTGAGGTGGGAGGACTGCTTGAGCCCAGGAGTTCAAGACCAGCCTGGGCAACAGTGAAATCCCATCTCTACAAAAAATTAAGTATCTAGGCATGGTGGGCTGTACCTGTAGTCCCAGCTGCCTGGGAGGGAGGCTGAGATGGGAGAACTGCTTAAGCCCAGGAGGTTGAGGCTGCAGTAAGCCACGATTGTACTACTGAACTCCACCCTGGGTGACAGAGCAAAAGACTCTGTCTCAAAAAAGAAAAAAAATTCTTACCGTTTCTACTTCCTATCACCATCACTATTACTGCAGGTTTAGAATCAATCTACCTGAATCAGAAAATAGAGCTCAAATAAGTTGTGTGGCTTAGTACAATCTGGGGAAATCAGTTTCAAAAGTTAGCTGCCCTTGGGATGGAACTTTCTGTCAACATCAGTTTTCAGAGGCCATTGCTGGGGAGACTTTATCCCATTCCAGCTTCAACCAGAGAAACTTGTATATCCTGAAATTTCACATAAGATTACACTTGAAGAATAGGTTTCTCCATTAAGACTTGAAAACTACTGGTCTTCAGGCTCCTACCTGTTTAATCCGTCAAGACACTGCCAGCTTAAATTTCAGACAGTTACGTAAGTGTCCCTGTTAACTTCAAATGGAACTGACAGGAATGCTAACATCGAAAACTCAAATGGGCCAGTTCCCCACCAGGCTTTATTGGGCTTATAAAACTTTCCAAGTTCAAAACTTTGCCATCTCTATGGGAAACAGCAACTTAGATTTAATGTTACAAAAGGAACAAGAAAATGGTTTCTGGATGGCAGCTTTCAGTTTACAAGTAGTGGCAAAGTAAATGGTTGGATGTTATGAGGTAGTTGATCTAAATTGTGAGGCTTTTTTTTTTTTTTTGAGACGGAGTTTCACTCGTTACCCAGGCTGGAGTGCAAAGGCATGATCTCGGCTCACCACAACCTCTGCCTCCTGCTTCAAACAATTCTCCTGCCTCAGCCTCCCAAGTAGCTGGGACTACGGGCACGCACCTCCATGCCCAGCTAATTTTTGTTGAGACAGGGTTTCACCATGCTGACCAGGATGGTCTCTATCTCTTGACCCGGTGATCCACCCACCTCGGCCTCCCAAAAGTGCTGGGATTACAGGCATGAGCCACGGTGCCCGGCCTAATTGTGAGGCTTTCTTAAAGGCACTCCTTTGATCTCACATGGAATGAGAGACTATAGCTATTCAACTTATTAAAACTCCTCTCCCAGCAAGAAACAATTAACAAAGCATCCTCCTCCTAATGGCCGAAGTTCCATCAAGCTGCTGTGGCCATTTTATGGAGCATGGTGCCATCTTGTGGCCACTTTCAAACCACCCATTGCTAATCGAGTGCAATTACATTACAGCATGTTATCCGAGTGAAAAGGAAAACTTTGGAGCCATGGTCCCTCCGGATATTTTCAAATGTTCTCAAAGAATGTGACATTTTGGTTACTTTTATGATTTTATTGACTTTTTTTCTCTTCATAACTTTAAAACAAAAACAGCACATGAAAACCAGTGTCTTATCCCAAAGTCTCAACTGAGCTGATTGACAGATGAACATCACCATCTTACTCCACTGAGTAACTAGACACAAATAACAGCAAGTTCGAGTTTCTGCCCACCCGAAGACACAGCCAGTAATCAGCCACAGACACAGACACAGTCAACCCCAGGGGCTCCAGCTCTCTGCCCATCTTCTCTCAGCTGTTCCTCCCATCTACTAAATGGGCCTTCCTGATGGCTTTCTCAAGGTGGGTCAAGCCTGAACTAGAGGAAAGCACAGGCCAGGTCCACCATCCCCTCCCACTGGCCACCAGCTGGCCAGCCAGGAAATCATTTCTCTACATCTTTTGTCTCCCCCCTTTTATCTCCCTCTCTTCTCCAAAAATTGTTGCTATCACTTGGATGTAACAATGGACTTAGTGTCCATTAAACTGCCTGAGAAGTGGTTTGAACCTGATGTATTTTCCTGAGCTAAAAAAAGAAAAAGTACCTCTGTGGCCTTCTTGCCATTAAAATCAAGTAAAAAACGGGACAAGCACTATTGAGAAGGGTCACATTAGAAAGGCCTTAGAATCCTCGCTCGACCCTTAACGGTTTCTCTAGCGGTAGCTCTTGAGGGTATAAGGGAGCAAATATTCTGGGGTCAAGCATGGGGGAAACACATTTATTTTCCCCTTTTAAACTTCCCTGCTGCCCCAGTTTTTGCCTTCTTCTTAGTAGATCCCCTGGGTTCTGGCTCCTTGCGCTTAGCTGAAGAGAGCGAGCCCGTCACCTTGAAGAAATCATCCAGGCGGCCCTGCGTGCTGCCTTGGCGGCTCTTGCTCAGCCTCTTGACCCCGCTGCGGATTCGCTCCTCAGAGAACTGCTTTTCGCCACACATGAACTTGACCAGCTCTTCTTCATTTGGCTCGCTCCACTTCAGCTCCACAGACTCTGGGTCCAGCACCTCAGGTTCCAAGAAGAGCTGGTGAGCCTCCTTGTGGAGCCAATTTTCTGGCACAGGGTACTTGTTGGGGTCAAGTCGCCGCACTATCTCCTCAATGCTCTTGTGCTTCTGGATGAGGTCCACAGCCCGCTTGGGCCCAATGCCCCGGATACTCTCACAGTAGTCACTGCCCAGCAAGATGCACAGATCCACAAACTGTTCCTGGTTCAGGCCCAGCTCCTGCAGAATCCGGCTCAAGTGGAATTCCTGGATGGGCAGCTTTTTGGATTCACTGGCAGTCAGGTGTCGCATTAGCACAGGGCTGCCAAAGGTGAGGCAGTCCATGTCCTCGGTAGCCGCAGCATAGACCTTGCCAGCCTTCACCAGGGCAGCACAGCTGGCCTCTGCCTCGCTGGGTGCATCGAGATAAGGGATGCCCATGAGGCTCAGCAGACGCTTGCACTCATCGTTGTGCTGCTTAGTGACCTTCACCAGCCGCTTAGTGAATTTTTCCACCTCCTGCTCGGCCCCAGCAGCCTGAGCCTGCTGCAGCTGCTTCTCTGCCTCAGCCCGCCGTTCACTGCGTTTGGCCAGCTCGCCTGACTTGAGCTGTGGTGGCTTCCCGTCAAAGACATACACGGGCTTGATGCCGTTCTCCATCATGCGGATAGTGCGGTAAAACATGCCCATCAGGTGGCTGGTGGTCTCACCCTCCTCGTTCTGCAGCACATCCCCACCCTGGCGAACAGCAATCAGGAACTGATAAATGCTCATAGAGGCATCAATGGCCACCTTACGGCCAAAGTAGCTCTTGATGTCATTCTCCCGGATGGCACTGGGGGCCACGTCAGCAATTAGTTTGGCCAGGCCTTGAATTCCCATGGCAATACAGAGGAGGGATGACTAAAAAAGAAAGGCAAGTCAGAGATGGAGGAAAGGAGAAGGGTTATAATTGGCGTTCTCTCACCAACTTTGTGTCTTGAGCTAAATGCCACACAAAAAGGACACCAAGTCAGCACTGCTGAAGATAAAAAGATGAAGACAAAGTCCCCATTCTCAAAAAAACCTCTAGCAGGGGAGTTTACTCAATAGTAAAAATACCAGAAATTGAAGCAGGTGCTTAGAGAAATAAGATATTATTGATATTCTGAGGCAGCAGCATTATTTATTATACCAAAAAAAACTACAACCTACGTCTCCATCAAGGACCACGGAAGGCCAGAGTGCTTGGCCTGGCTTGAGGAGTCTAGGGACCATAATGGCAAACCTGAAGACAGGCAAATATACCAGCTAAACAAAAAGATCTGATTTTGAGTCTCTGGAGAACCCTGACTGATAAGGCAGCCTTGAGAACGGACTGCAAATGTAACATCTGAATGGAGGTGATGTGGCTTCTTCACAAGCTTCTCTCACTCCTGTCATCGCCTCAGCACATAGAGTTTCTATTTTTATTACATTGCTAGTTTCAAGCTTTCCCTGTGCGTTTTCTCTCCACCACTCAGTCTGAAATGTTAACTCCATGGCTCTTCCCCGGGTCCTGATTGTGGTATCTGGCATTCCACAGCCACTGGGCCCAAAAAATGATTGCACTTCAGAGTCGATAGGCACGTGATCAAGTCTTTTGTGTGTGTGTGTGTGTGTGTGTGTGTGTGTGAGACGGAGTTTCACTCTTGCGGCCCAGGCTGGAATACAATGGCGTGATCTTGGCTCACTGCAACCTCCACAGTTCAAGGGATTCTCCTGCCTCAGCCTCCCAAGTAGCTGGGATTACAGGCATGTACCACCATGTCCAGCTAATTTTGCATTTTTAGTAGAGACAGAGTCTCTCCACGTTGGTCAGGCTGGTCTCAAACTCCCGACCACAGGTGATCTGCCAGCCTTGGCCTCCAAAGTGCTGAATTACAGGCGTGAGGCACCTTGCCCTGCCATCAAGTCTTTCTTGTGGCAGCATTTCCCAAATCACCCTCACAATTTTTGCCACTTCCAACTAAAATCTGTACTTTTATTTAGAATTTTTTTAAAAAACTAAAATAAACTAATAAAGAAAACTCATCATAAGCAATACTATTTGTGTTCTATCAGTTAGATTTTAATATGTGTTAAACGTGTAACTATTAAAAAGGATTTTTAGCGGTTGTAATTTAAAGTCATCTTGCCATCCTGGCCAACATGGTGAAATCCCGTCTCTACTAAAAATACAAAAAAAAAAAAAAAACTAGCTGGGTGTGGTGGCATGCACCTATAATCCCAGCTATTCTGGAGGCTGAGGCAGGAGAATCGCTTGAACCTGGAGGCGGAAACTGCAGTGAGCCACGAATGCACCACTGCGCTCCAGCCTGGCGACAGAGCGAGATTCTGTCTCAAAATTATAATAAAGTCATTTTGTACCCACTGGTGGTATGTGTCCAACACTCTAAGATATATTCTACCAGGGCCAGGCATAGAGACTCTGGCCAGTAATCCCAGCACTTTGGGAGGCCGGGATGAAAGGATCACATGAGCCCAGGAGTTCCAGGTTGCAGTGAGCTACGATTGTGTCGCCAAACTCCAGACTGGGCAACAGAGCAAGACCCTATCAGGAAAGAGCAGGAGAAGGAAACGGAGAAGGGGAAGAAAGGAAAGAGAAAGGAAAAAAACGGGAAGAGAAGACTCCTCCAAGCTTTTTCACTGTTCCCACTCTTCCTTCACAGGGTTCTTTCTGGAGTATTAATGACTGTTCAATTCTTCCTTCTAATTCAGTCCAAACACTTCAGCATGGCATCAAGATCTCTTTCATGTTCTCATTCCCAACCTAACCTTATATTCTCGAATCTCAACAGAAAGCTGGAATAAGGCCCGCCTTTTCCCACTTTTCCTCAGCTGTGCCCTCCTCTCACGCGTCCTTCCAAGTCCATCCCATTTGATTAATATGAATAATTCCCCCTGTGAACTGCAGCGGCAAAAGCTCGGGCCTTGAATCTAGGCACAGCATTTACCATCCATGTGATATTTACCAAGCCACTGAGGTTTATTTTCTCGTCTACAAAAGAAAGATAACCATCACCTGTCTCTCAGGATTGCTGCCAGAGTTAACTGAGACAACAGACGGAAACCTCTAATGTCCCCTTTCCAGACCCTTTCAACCCTTCGGCTCTTGCTCAAGCCGGCCGCGCTGCTGAAGGGTGGACCGAGGACCAGGCCGTGTTAGCCTTGATCACCTCGCGGCGTCAGGCAGGAAAGGGACCTCAACAACTCAAGTGTCAGAACTGTTTCTAGTCCAAGGTCTTAGGAAAAATACAACATGTCCCCATAAGAGGGAACTTACTGCTGCCTTTCTATAATGGAAGAAAGAGAGGCTCGGAGCTTGCGCGACTGGCCCAAGGCTCACAGCGGGAAAGTGGCGGGACCGCCTGATGGCGAATGCCGCGCACTCCAGACCCCGGCTCCCCACGACTCCCAGCGCCAAGCGGACGCCGTCGCTCCGGAAGGTGCTTCCCATAAGGTCTCACCTGGCCTTTGGGACACGAGGCCTTGGCGGCTAGAGCTTGGTCGGAGTTACCAAGTGCCAGCGGTGCTAAGCCCGCTTTCCTTGCTCAGTTTAGCCACCGGTCTGCTGTCGCTCCGCCGCCTTCCAAAGCCCGCGCTCCCGTCACGTGACCTGCCCGCCACGCACAGCCATCTGGGGAGTGTAGTGCAGGCCGCGTCCCCTCAGACGGCTGCTCTCACGGCAACCAGTCCTGCCAGGGAGAACGTCTTTCTCAGCGACCCTGACCTACCCTTCTCCACAGCCTGTCCCTACGCCACCTGCACCAGGTTCCCGCATGCCCCAGCTCCCGCTACACCCGAAATCATAGGACTACAAGTCCCACAATGCCACTTGCTCCTCAGGTACTTCCTTTTCCGGTTGCACTAGGCGCCTGCTCCTGCAGACGTGTTCTTCCGGTGGCGGAGCGGCGGCTTAGCCTGAGCTGGGCAAAATGGTGAGAGGGTTGAAGGGAGTTCCTCACGGGGCTGCGAGGACCCCTCGGGGTCTGACCTACACCGCGCTTCTCTCCTCAGACGCCAGTGGTTCAGAGGGCTAGACGCTCCTGGAACCTCCGGCTTGGGCTGAAAGGTGGGGAAGGGGGAAGCCCTTGCCATGAACTCTTTAGGTTTCTGAGCTCGCGATTTCTAAGGATGAGGGGCGTGGGGCGTATTTTTAATACCTTCCAGTTTATATATTTCTGTTATCTGTGGTGTGTTATCTTCATATGGAAAGTTCTTCTGCCGAACCTGAGCCCATCCTACAATGCCCTGGGCAAATGTTTCTTGGTGAAGCACTTCCAACTCTCAGGCACTTGGCCAGACTCTCCTAGGAGCGCCCACAGCCTCTGTACAGACCTCTGGCTACGTTTCGTGGACTTTTTTTGTTTTCGGCCACGCCTCCCAGTGACCACCGTCTGACGCGCATCTAGCTCTGGGATGATGTCTATTCATCTTTGTATTCCCAGTGCCAAACAGAGGGCCTGTAATTGGAAGCTCAATAAATGGCAACAATTGTCTTTATCATTTTGGGGGAAGGGGGCCGTGATTGTTTACTGGATTGAATTCCAGTGTCTCAGAACAATGGGGTCAGTTTACTTCTCTAGAGTTGTTATGTTCTGGATTTTAGAAGCATTGGCTGACGGGTGACAATGAAGTTAACATTTGTACGGAACTTTACATTTACATCCCTCTTTCATAGGCAATATCTCATCATCTTCCCTACAACCTTAGGAAGGAAGCAGATACCTATTGAGCAAAATACTCTCTGCCAGGCACTAGACTAGATGCTTTGATTCCTAATCTTTTTTATATATCTGTTCTGTGAAATAGATACTGCACTTACCTTACTCAGACTCGGATTACTCAGTAAGGGCAGAACTTTAATGTCTTTGCTCATAGCTCACAAGATTCCATAATAACATAGGTAGTGAGGAAAATACTGAATTGGAAATTAAGACTGGTGGGGTAGCTCACACCTGTAATTCCAGAACTTTGGGAGGCTGAAGCAGGAGGATCATGAGGCCAAGAGATTGAGACCATCCTGACCAACATGTGAAAACCCATCTCTACTAAAAATACAAAAATTAGCTGGGTGTGGTGGGGCGCGCCTGTAATCCCAGCCACTCCAGAGGCTGAGGCAGGAGAATTGCTTGAACCCAGGAGGCAGAGGTTACAGTGAGCCAAGGTCGTGCCACTGTACTACACCTGGGTGACAGAGCGAGACTCCATCTAAAAAAAGAAATTGAGGCTGATCATGCCTGTAATCCCAGCACTTTGGGAGGCCAAGGCAGGCAGATCACCTGAGTTCAGGAGTTCAAGACCAGCCTGGCCAACATGGCGAAACCCCGTCTCTAAAAAAAATACAAAAATTAGCCTGGCAGCTAATTGCAGGTGGTGATGCACACCCTCAATCCTGTAATCCCAACTACTTGAGAGGCTGAGGTATGAGAACCTCTTGAACCCAGGTGGCAGGGGTTGCAGTGAGCCTAGATCATGCCACTGCACTCCAGCCTGGACAACAGAGCAAGACTCTGTATCAAAAAAAAAAAAAAAATACTGAGATCTGGGTACCACCAGTCAGTGACTTAGAGCAGGGGTTCTCAGCTTGGAGACTATAGACATTGGTCCACAAAGCTCCGGAAATTGCAGGCACACTTTTTTTTGTATGTAGTTTTTCTCAGGCAGAGCGTTCGTACCTTTCATCACATTTTCATAGTGGTGAGATCATTGGCCTCAGAAAATGCTAAGGACCATTGATCTGCACTAAACACCTTCTGTGTCTCAGCCTCTGATGCCGAGCGGCCCTTCTTGTCTCATATTGAAAAGATAAAGTGTCTCCTCGGTTTTGAGATAGAACTGTGACTGTCACTCCCATACTGAATGAGTTGCTGTTGGTTGGGAAGGATTTCCATATTTCCGGGCTGAAATCAGCTTTCACAGCAGCACCAGGCTCCTTGATAACCCCACGTTCTCCCCAAGCTGAAATCGTGAGATTCTTTGCTAGCTCTGATCTCTTGCCCTCCCCTAGGAGCTCGAGGCCATGAGCAGATACACCAGCCCAGTGAACCCAGCTGTCTTCCCCCATCTGACCGTGGTGCTTTTGGCCATCGGCATGTTCTTCACTGCCTGGTTCTTCGTGTATCCTTTCACTGAGCATCCAGAGGACCAGCATTAGTGATGTGGGAATCTGAGGGAGAAACTGCACTAGGTACATGCACCCTGCCATTTTTGTACACTGGATTGAGGCTGAGAGAAGGTAAGGAGGGGAGGAGGGCTGGTGATGCCCAGGGGCAGGTTATGGCCTTATTTCCCAAGTTCAGGTGAACTCTGTTCTGTGGATTTCCAGGACAGTAAGCAGGGTGCCTGGCTGGAGTGGAGGTGGGGGATAGGGGAGCTGCAGTTAGAAAGGTGGTATAAGGAAGGGTGCACTCAGGTGTCAGGAAGTCAGAGGGCTAGTCCCAGCTCCAGTCCTCATGAGCTGTGTGACCTGGGGCAAGTGACCTAACTCCTCTGGGTCTCATTTTCTTCATGGCAGTGGAACACCGGAGTCCAGGGTATCTCTTAGGCCCCTCTGCCTGGCTGCTCTGAGCCAGATAGACTCCCCAGAAGGCACTGAGCCAATACCTTTCTCCTCAGGGTCCCACTGCCTGGGCTGTCTGTACTCCACAGCCCATTTCTTTGCTTTGCCTTAACTGCTGTGCCCAGTTACGAGGTCACCTCTACCAAATACACTCGTGATATCTATAAAGAGCTCCTCATCTCCTTGGTGGCCTCACTCTTCATGGGCTTTGGAGTCCTCTTCCTGCTGCTCTGGGTCGGCATCTATGTGTGAGCGCCCAAGGGTAAGAGCTGCAATGGGGTGGGCATGTGAGCCTCCAGGGCGCAGCCCGGGGAGGCCTCTCCATAATCAGGTCAGCAGGGTCCTTAAGGCTCTTACCAGCATGACCCCTTGGTTGATGGAGACAGACTCAGTGGAATGGGAAGGGACAGTGGACATTTGTTCCTCTTTCCCTGACCCTCATACGGATTTGAGCCAAGTGTGACTGACTGTGTTAGTTCTGAGCTCACATGGCCTAAGGCCTCCATCTGCCTTTGGGATGTACTACGTAAGAGTGTAGGCACAGGCTTCCCATGGTTGTACATTTAAGTCAGGCCCCAATGACTTGGAGAGGCTGCTGGGAAGTTGGCTGGCTCTAAGGGGGTCAAGATATGGGGCTTAAAACTTACTGCAGAAGATAATTCACCAAATAGGCCGCTGGGAATCAGCTCTGGTGGCTCATCCTCAGAGGTGTGTGCTTGACAGTCCTTGCTCCAGGAACACAGGGGTGCAGGGAGAAAAGGTGGAAAGAAGGGCCACTGGTCTCATTTTGATACCCCTCTCCTCTTTTAGGTAACAACCAGACGGCTCCACTGAATCCCTGCTTTTGTAAATTACTTTTTTTACGTTTGCTGGAAGTGTCCCACCTGCTGCTAATAATAAAGGCAGATGTATGGCAGTCCTGTCTGTGGCCCATTCTGCAGGGTTAGTGGGCTGCTGGGACCTACATTCCTTATCCAGTCTCTTCCCTTTCCCATTTCTCATCTGCCTTTCACACAGTTCCTGCTGCTGACCTACTTAAGGGGGATGAGATTTGTGTGGCAGGGGTGTTTTGTCATTGAAATTTAAGGCTTATCTGTGGATAGGAAGGACCTGGGCCTGCCCTCTACTATTGTTTCTAGGACAAACTTCTCTAGGAATCCACATCAGTCCATTCTGCCCTGGGCCAGTCCCTGCCCTAAACATAGCCACCCTTCTGTGTGCTGGGGCATCTTCACCAGGCTCAGCTTGTCTGCCTAAGAAGGCTTTTCCCCTCGGCTACTTTTAACGCAGGTGGGCAGCAGCAGGTGCGTGGGTGGGGAAGGTGTGGCCATGGGAGGGGCTGAGTCCACTCCTAGCCCCAGTATGAAACTAAGAGGATAAGGGGTATGAAGCATCCATTTGGCTATCTGGCTCAGGAGCTGAGATTTCAGTCTTCTTAGGAAGAACTCTGAATTCCAATTGGCCTCATAGGGGACTCCTCTCCCACCAGACCAATCCCAAGAAGAGACAAGGAGGCAAGCTCAGATACAAAGCAGTATTTATACATTTATTTATATATGTATATTTACTTCAGAAGAAAAGAACAGTTTGGGGACAGGAAACAAGCAGGCCTGGAGCTGCTGCCCTCACTGCCCACCTCAGAGAGTTGGTACATGATAAATAGGAGTCCAAGCTTAAGGAGAGGAACTGGGAGTTAACTGGGAGGTAGGGGGCGCTCTATGCACATGCAGGCTTCTATGGAGGCACAATATGGGCAGCATGATTTGCACCGGGAGGCCCTATGTACAGCTTGAAGCTAGGGGGAGATTAGCCCAGTGGCTACAGGAACAAAGGCCAAAGGAGAGAGAAGGGAGGGATGACCTGCTGGACCCCAGGACAGGGATGGGGCCAAGACACTCACACCATCGCCAGCCGGGCAGCTGGCAGCCTCCAGCAGATGACCCACTTACCTTTCCTGAAGCCCTTCTACCACAGGCTTAAGGCAACTTTGGTCCAAGGTTGACCCCCTCAAGCAGCTTGGAGCCCCAGCCTGGCCCCAATGCCTGCACTGAGGAACCCCTCCCCAGGCATGGAAACAGCCAGCTGCTAATGGGTTTGGGGCTGTGCTGTGTCCAGATGGGCTCCAGGGGGCAGTGAATGGTCACTTTCCAGTTAAGGACTGAGGGGCCGATAAGAACATGAACCCCCATTGAGGAAGCCCCAGAATCCTATCACATGGAGTGGGGCTCAGCAGTTTTAAGGCATAGGGAGGATTCCCTCAGTAGGAGGGAGAACAGAATCATCCTAAGTAAGGCTCAGCTCCTGCATGGTATGGGAATGGTGAAATTCCTATGTCAGTGGAGCCTAATTGGGGAGGGGCTGGGAGGAAGCTATCCCTGCTATTCCTGCATCCCCCTGCTGTTCCCTATCCTGAGGACAAGTGCTTTCAGATCAATGGCAGAAGGGGGCCTGCAGGTCACAGGCTTCAAGGATTCAGCTCCACTATAGAAAGGCCTCCCATTCAAAGCTGAGAATGAGCAGTGGGACAGGGGCAAGGCCTGATTCCCAAAGAGGTGGCAGCGTACCACAGGGCAAGGACAGCAATTCCCTTTCCTGTTTCTGGACCCATGGCAGACATGGCTAAATGATTACCACACTCCTTCCATGAGCCTGGATGTGACATCAGAATGCACCAGGTACCACTAAGAAACTTAAAGTTGGCACTTAAGATACAACTTCTTCCCTAATCCAGGGCCTTGGTGGTCAGGAGTGGCATGGGTGTCAGGCTCCCTGGGAGGGATCAGAGCCAGGGCCCTGTCTTTAAGTGTCACACCCCAGCTCTAGCCCACTCTGAGCTTTCTAGCTCCATCCTTCCATTCCTTCCTGCCCTGGTTTAAGTGCATTTAGTAGTTACTTCATTAATAACAGCAAAAGCTATTTGCATCTGCCCTCCAGCCAAGACCAGGCTGCTGCTTGAGGGATTCCTGCTCCTCTGCTCAGAGAGAAGGATGTGACCTCTGTACACTCCAGGAACAGAGGCAGTGGGCAGCAACACCATCTGGTGGCTCAAAGGGAACGTCCCCTTCCAAATATTCTTGGTTCAAGGCTCCATGGCTTTCCTGGCCCACTGGCCCCCACTGGTTCAGGCCCATAAAGGGCTGAGGATGGCTTCACCAGGCACTGAGTAGACTTAAGGCACAAAGTCAGTTTCTCCAACCCATCTAGGGCTGGCCTCGGCTGCCCTGGGACTTCTTGGGAGCCAAGCTCTCCCAGGGAGAAGAAACTTCCTGGGCCACATTTAAAGCTTAGAAGTCCAAGTCCAGTGTAACAGGCAAACCCCAGAAAGTCCACTACCTAGCCATCCCCCAGAGTAGCTTTAAGGGGGAGAGCCATCTGCCCTCCGTTGACTCATGGGGGTCCACCCAAGTCTTTGAGGGCGGATCCAAGCCCCCTGTTGATCTCAAAGGTGGGCAGGTCCTCTCTCCAAGAGGGTTGGCTCTGGTCTCAAAAGGGGAGGCAGGGGATAGTGGGCTCTGAACAAATGAGGGTCCCAGGGTTCCCCTTGCCTCCTGGGCACCTGAACCAGCCCTCCAGCCACCATATCTGGACAGAGGTGAACTGGTCCTGTCCTGGCCCCAAGGGGGTGGCAGGCAGGAAGGCCCAGGAAGTCTCTGGCTCTCAGGTTCCCTCTGTGCTGTGAGGGGCAACCAGCTGGAACAGCAACTCCAGTGTGAAGACTTCCAGTTTCACCAGTCTCAGGGAGGGCCAGTGAACAGCAGAGCTGGCCTGCTGCAGGCTCCAGTGTACACCATTGCATCCAATGTTGGGGGTGTCCAGATACCCCTGGTCCCTGGTGCTGCCTCAGGAGGCAGCTCAGTCACACAGGCGGTAGAAGTGGAAGTAGTAGTCTGTGGCTGGCTGGACGAGAGCCTCTGAACTGCAGTTGGCCTGACCCTGAGTGGAAGGGCATTGGGAAGGTGAGGTGGCTCTGTGGGTGTGGGGCAGATGGCACTTCCTGCTGACGTTCCTTGACACTGTGCCCCCATCCTGCCACATGCTGTGCAAACCCCCATTCCTCAAGCCCCACACCACAGACAGGGGTGCCCAGACCTCCGGGGTAGGTGGGATGCCCCTGCTCACCAGCAGTGCCACCCGGAAGTGGTAGGTGAATTCACGGAAGGACAGGATGGTTATTGACCACTGGTGAGAGGTGCCCTGGAGAGAAGGGAGAAAGGAGTCAGGACAGACTGCTGCCCCTATCCCAACCAGCATCTCACCACAGCCATCACAGTCCTAGGTCTGTGGGGAGTTTTATGAAGGAAAAAAGAGAACTGAAGAGATGGGAGGGAGCGTGTTCTGCTTCAGCAGAAGGCTCAATGGCAGCTACTCCATGCAGACCGTGCCTGGTACTGGCAGGTCCACAGCCACCTCTGCCTGGCCCTTGCCTCCTTCCCAGTCCTGTTGTGCTGGGTTCCCTCACACGCTATGCTCTGCGCACATCAAAGTATTTCATTAGCCCCACCCTCAGTATGATCCAATGATGCCGTGCTGCTACTAGTCCTACCTTCTGGATGAGAAAACTGAGTCATTTGCCTAAAAATCACAGTGCAGCAGAGCTGGGATTCAAACCCAGGTGTGTCTGGCCCTCTCCCTCACAGGGTGGCATGCAGCCTGGCTGCAGGCAGCTTGCCCATCTCCTACCTGAGCCAAAGCCTCAGGTAGGAGATGGGCAAGTCTGTGTGATGTGGTTTCAGGCCCGCGCGTGTCGGATGCATGTCTAGCTGGGCTCTCTCTCGGCCACTGTCTCCTCTGTGGGGCCACAGCGCTCGGGCCTCCCTTAGAGGAAGCCCGAGCTCTTCCAGGTGCTTTCTGCATGCCTTTTCTCCCTCACTATAGAGTACATTCTTGGAAGTCAAAACCTGTGTCTACTCCACCTCTCTCCCCTGCAACTGGGCCCATCCAGCAGATGATTGGGACAGATGGGGCCTCAATCATTATTTTCTGAGTAAACACATGAATGGACGAGAAAAAATAATCACTGCTTCCGTGTTTGTCCTGAGAGTCTTCTCCCATGGCTTCTCAGGCCCAAGGAGAAAGTGGGGGTCCATCAGCCTCAGGGACAGTCCTAACTTCCGGTTACCTGGCCAGGGAGGAGCTGGCCATCCAGTTCTCCCAGAAGAGGTGGCCGAACATGGAGCCTGAGGGGCCTTCTAATGCACATCTAGCTGTGCCACTTCCCCAACCTGAGCATGAGGCTGGCTCCTTCCTGCTTCTGCAGACACCTCCAGTGAGTCCCAGCCCTCCCTGCATGGGCTCCCAGACACCCGCCTGTCTCTATTGTTGCATTCATCCACGTCAGCCCGGTGATCTGCTTTCTTTCCCAGGTCTCCAGCATGGCAGGGCCAAGAGATGCTCAGAGTGGAATCAACAAATACAGCAAACGTGCCCATTCCTGGGACACAGAGGCCCAGGCCCCAGTGCCCCTTGTGGAGACACCTTCACTCTGTATCTCCCAGCTCCAGCTCATGGCCCAGTTGAGCCAGAGGAGAAGCAGCTCAGGCCTGGCCAGCCCACAGCTTCCCAGTCCCACCTACCTGGGTGTCCTGATGGGTGTGGGGACTCTGTGAAGGGCCCCCCTCCTCACATGGCTCCTCCTTGGACCTCAGGCTGCACAGTACCACGGACACTGGGGAGGAGGAGCTGGGGACAGGCCCAGTTAGCAGAGAAATGGGGTTCTGGAGTCCCTCAACCCCAAGCACCCTCCCAACCAGCCTTCCACACACCTCTGAATCCCCACCCGGCCTGAAACACCGCATATCAACCATCCCACGTGCTCCTCAGCCTGTGAGGCTGGGTCATTGAGCCAGTTAACCACAAAGCAGGCAATGAAGTCAGCACTCATCCCACCATGTAGGAAATGCCAGACTCTCAGGCTATCCTCAGGCTTGGCTGTTCTGAGGTTCTGCCGGAGACTCCTGGCTCCCCTCCCACCTCCCATTTCCCCATGCCGGCACTCACTTCATCTGCAGAGTCAGGCTGAGGTGCAGTGGGGTGTTGCTGCTGACAGGGATGTGGTACGTGAAGTTTCCAGGCCTGCAGTGACAAAACTGGCCCCTTAGCCTGAGGGCACCCTGCCAACATCCTCCCCTCCCCCACCCCACCATTGACTCCTCAGCCCCCAATCTGTACTGGAGCCCTGCAGAGGCCTGGAAAGGGGCTGCCCTGCCTTGTGGGGGAGGATCCTCCCTGAGGGGGCAAGTTCTGGACGATCTGTACTACCTGGGCTCATGTCACCTGAGGGGACCTCCCTGGGTGAGGGGAGGGAGCGTAGCCCACCTGCAGGCATCCCCTGGAGCACAGTACTGGGAGGTGATGGGCATTGAATTCTCCAGCACTTGGATCGAGGTCAGGGAGGGCACTGGCTCTGCAAGGAGAGAAGCTGTTGGGGCAGGAGTAAGGTGACAAGGCAGGACACAAATGAGACGGAGGCATGTCTTTCCTTGCCAGACTTGGAGCAGTCACTCATAGCTTAGTATGAATAAGTTCCAGGTTTTTTTTCCCCCAGACCCCCACAATGTCCAGAATCACACTACACCCTTTCCTCCGCAGCCCTGGGACTACCCAGTCCCCATGAGCCTGACGTCTGCCTCCTCAAAAGAACTGGAACACCCAAAAGTAGGGATGGGTCTTCATATCCCTTGCCAGGTGTGCAGGAGCCTGCTTGCGGCCTCTGTTCCTGCCTGCAGGCGTCTCTCAGCTCTGGGTTCAGAAACATCAGTTATACTGGTAGCTTGAAATCGGTGATGGTGAGAACACCACACAAATCAGGCTCTTCCCTGCCCCAAGGCCGATGGTCACACAGCTACTAGCACACTGCTCCTAGCACCTCCCTGAATGAACCCACTGCAGACTGGCTGGCTGGGTAGAGGTGAGACTGAGTGTGACAAGCCAGATCGGGGAGACAAGGCTTTCTTGGTCATCTAGTCCACCTACAGTCTTGCTGCTGTCTGACTATCCACCCAGGAAGGGGGAAGCTGGGGCTGCTGGACATTTGCTGGGTGTGGTAAGTTTTCAGCTCTGTGGCATGACCCAGGGACCCGAGGACCCCAGCAGGATCCAGGACACCCTGTGTGACCAAGGACAGGTATCAGATACAGATGAGATGGAAGGTGCCCTCCCCACGTCCCTTCTGGGCAAGTTCCAAAGGTCCTTTTAAGAGTCAGCTCAGCCAAGTGTGGTGGCTCACACCTGTAATCTCAGCACTTTGGGAGGCCAAGGCGAGCAGATCACAAGGTCAGGAGTTCAAGACCAGCTGGCCAACATGGTGAAACCCCACCTCTACTAAAAATACAAAAATTAAGCCAGGCGTGGTGGCACACGCCTGTAATCCTAGCGACTCAGGAGACTGAGGCAGGAGAATTGCTTGAACCCAGGACAGGAGGTTGCAGTGAGCTGAGATCATGCCACTGCACACCAGCCTAGGCAACAGCAAGACTCTCAAAAAAAAAAAAAAAGCCCAAATGTCACCATCTCCAGAGAGGTCTTCCCTGATCCTCCCCACCTTCATCCGGATTAAGTGCCCTTCCCAGTCCCAAAGCTGCCTGCATGTCCCCCCAGAGCCTCATCACACTGCTGTGTTTTCAGCTCTGTGAGGTCTTTGGGGACAGGGGTGTGGCTGTCTTCATCATTCCCAGTGCCCTGTACAGAGCCAGCCAGAGTGGCTGGCAGCCCAGTAAATGGGTGCCTGGCAGACATCTCCCCCTGGGGTTTCCATCTCTGCAAGCCACATTTTCCAGGCTTTCTTTTTCTTGAAGCTCCAAAACCCATCAAATGAAAATTGGTGAGAGCAGAGTTGCCTGGTTGAAGCCAGGAAGCCTCCCAGCCTCCCCTTCGACCCCCAAGGCAGTCCCCAGGGTGCCTCAGAGAAACCTAGTTTGAAGACTTCAATAAAAGGTTCTGTAACTTTCTTAAAATCAAAGATCTGAGGTGTGGGAAACTATAGGGGAAACCCAGTATGGCACCCTCCTGAGGCTGGCATGTTGAAGGAGGGGCCAGGCTTGGATCGAATACCAGCCCTGCCTCGGAGGGGCTGCATGATCCTGAGCAAGTCACTTCACCTTTGTCTCCATCCCCATTTCCTCAGCTGAACAATAGGAACAACAATGCCTTTCTTGCAGGAGTGCTGTGAGGACTAAATGAGGTGATCTGTTTAAGGCTGTGGGTCTGATTCCTGATCCTTACTCTGCTCAGCAAATGTCTATTGACTGACAAGCCTGAACCGAGACAGTCACATGCCTGGGCTGAGACCATCCCTGGCCAGTGAGCCTTGCTGGGCTGGGCTGGGTAGTGTCAGGAGTGCGGCAAGTACCTGACTGGCCCTGGGCCCAGGTGGGCTGAGCAGGGCCCACACTGGACTGGGGGGCCCCTCGGCGGGCCCGGCCATGGAAACCAAGGCTGGGGCTGTTCTTGGCTTTGCCCTGCCCCACAGGGAAGGGGACTGCAGGGCTGGCCAGAGGCTCCAGACTCTTGTGATGCTTGGAGTGGCCAATGCCATTGACTGAAAGACCCCAGGACTTGGCTCTGATGTTGGTGACTGGCAGCAGGGCCATCTGGCTAGGGCCTGTGGATAGAACCAGGGACAGGCTGAGAAGAGGGGAGCTGGCTGCTTCCCATCCAGCTTTTCTCTAGGGCCCCACAAGACTGAGTGAACCCCATGTGTCCCTTGGTCCCCTCAGGGGCCTTCCCAGTCATTGTCCAGGGCCTCGTTCTGCTCTCCAGGAGACCCTCCCACCAAAAAGTCTTTGGGCCTCTCTCTCTACTCAGGTAGCCCCCACCCCAAGCCCCAGCCCTGAGAAAGCCGTACCTGAGCGGTTGGTGTTGGGGCTGGGGCTGGGGCTGGGAACATGGCCAGGGTTAAAGCTGGGGCCAAGACTAGGACCAGTGGTGGGGCTGGTGGTGGGTGAGGAGCAGCAGACGACAGGGCAAGGGTGGTTGGAACACAGGTCCAGGGTGCGGATGGCAGAACCTGGTGCTGAGCTGGTCAGACTTGTGGTCACTGAGGAGGCCAGAGGCTGTATGAGCCAGAGGAGCCCCCAAGACAGAACATAGCCACCTCCCCATCCCACCCCAGACACGCCCAGACACGCACCCAGCAGCAAAGAAGGCTGTATGCCTGGCAGCCCAGTGGTCACAGAGGACTGTCGGAGCTGCGTAGTCCCAAAGCTCTGGCTGGACCTGCTGGGGAAGGGTGGGCTGAGCTCAGAGTGGCTGGGAGAGCCTGAGGGGAGAGGGCCTGGCAGTCCTGGAGAGGCAGGAGGGCAGGAGGAGGCAGAGAGGGAGGGGAGGGAGGCAGGAAGAGGGGCAGCAGGAGCCAGAGGAGAGGGATGCTGGTCAGCACATACCATGGGCACATGGCCTCACTCCCCCCAGGGGGCTGGGGCCGGAGCAGGGCCAGGAGACAGGAAGTAGACACGGCAAAAGAGCTAAGGGGCAGCAGAGAGGCAGAGGGCGAGACAGACAAAGGGGAAGAGAGAAGAGAAGACACAGTCAGAGGTGGCCCCGGGAGCTGAGGGTGACAGTGGGCTCACAGAGCCCAAGGTCCTGCCCTGGCCTTCCTTTCCCCTACCCCATGTTCCAAACCCAGCCCCTCAGACAGCCCTGACTCGCAGGCCCAGCGACCTGGAGGAGCACTAACCAGGCCAGACAAAAACATCGGCGTCAGCAAGGACTGGGAAAGGCTGCCCACCCTCCAAGGAGGCCCTTCCTGGATCCCCCCAACAGGCTGAGAGGCTAAGGATGAACTCCTTTAGAGGAGACAGCCTCATAGCTCTCTGAACTTGGACTGCCTACCGAAGTCCCACCTGGCCCAGTGGCTTGGCTTGGCCTCCAGGAACCTACCCATCAGTGTCTACCAGGTCCTCCTCCGTGCGCAGGCTCAGCACGTACAGTGTGGACATGGACACCACGCTGGAGCCACAGAAAAGGGTGACCATTAGAGCTGGAGCCACCACCCAGCGCCCTCTCTCCAGGACAGGGCTGTGGTCCTTGGCTCCTGGGGCTGGGCCCCCAGGTGATGCCTGCAAATGGGTCGCCCTGAGGGGAAGAGGCAGAAAGGCCCACCTCACCGAGACCTCAGCCGCCTGATCTCCCAAGCTATGTCCTCCTCTTCCCCCAGGCCTGAGCCCATGGGCAGCTGACTCCACAAGGAAGCTCCACTCCCCCCACCTTCCATCAGCCACCCTGAGAGCCCAGAGGACAAGTCACCTGAAGGCCATGACCACCACCAGGGCAATGATGGTTCCCTGCAGGAAGCGCTGGCTGATGCAGGCCTGGTCTGGAACCACAGACGGTGACTGAGGACCAAGAGGAAAAGTGCAGATGCAAAGCAGACCAGGCTGAGGCTGCCTGCTATGGGCTCTGCTGGAGGCTGGGGGTGGGGGGGTACCCCATTCCCCCAGAGGACAGAGAGAAGAAAGAGAAACTGGGCGCTGGGAAGGCTACTGAGTCACAAGGAGAGGGAAGTGCCGGAGGCAATGAGGCTGGAGAAGTGCAAGCTGGAAAGGGAGGCCACAAGGGATGGGGAACCCCCCCATAATGGCCTGTCATAAAGGGCCTGTCATCCCTGTCCACCCTTACCTTGCTGGCCACCTTGGGGGGCCTCTTCTTGTGAGGGACGCTGCCCGCCCGGCTGAACTGGCTCCCTGCATGGCTGTAGCAAGAGGGCCAGGGTCAGGGGTGCCCCTGGGAAGAGGGGTCTGACCCTCCCCCACCCCACACCCCCACCTGAAGGCGCCCGAGCTGCCAGTGGACTTGAGGCTGTCGAGCCGCCGCAGCTTGGCCAGCTTGTGGCTCCAGCGCTCCAGCTCATCGATGCGTGTCTCCAGGTTGTCAGTCAGCTTGCACAGTTCCTTCACGGCCCCCACGTTCTCCATGAAGATGCGCTCCTGCCATGGGCCATGGGCCAATGCAGACGGCTCCATCAGCCCCAGGAGCCCCAGGCTGCCAGACATCAGGGGGCAGGAGGGGCGGCCACTATCCTTGGCTACCTGGGCGGGCCCCTCAGTCCAGCCTCAGCTCCCACAGCTCCTGTGCCATCTCCAAGCAACATCCCCAGCACTGCAGCTTCACCTGGGCTGAATGGCCCTCCCCATTCCCTGCCAGAGCTCTGCATCCTCAGGCTCCCCAGGCCTGAAGGCTGCAGCCCCAGGATCCACCCCTCTGATGACGGCAGTGTCTCAGATGTCAGCACTTCACTATTCAGCTGGGGAGAGCTGTCACAGGCCTCCTTGGAGCCCAGACTCAAGCCAGGTAAGTGTCAAACGTCATCCTCACAATAAACCACGGATTTAAGCCTAGAGATAGCCATATGAGGATGTCTTTGCGGTTCTGTTACTGCTCTCGTATTACTCGGGGTGGAGGACCATGGACCTCCACAGGGTTTCTCTTGCCCTTGACCACACAGGCTTCAGGGCCCAAATTCCTACCCACTCATCCCCTTGAACACTCACCCCTTCTCTGTGGGGTGCAGAGGGCACTCTGGAGGCAGCATGAGAGTCGAGGCTGCTCCTGCCTCTGCTCTGCAGTGTCCCCCAGTATCTATGGAGGAGAGTCAAGGCTGCTCCTGCCTCTGCTCTGCAGTGCCCCCCAGTATCTATGGAGGAGAATCAAGGCTGCTCCTGCCTCTCTGCTCTGTAGTGTCCCCCAGTATCTATGGAGGAGAGTCAAGGCTGCTCCTGCCTCTCTGCTCTGCAGTGTCCCCCAGTATCTATGGAGGAGTCAAGGCTGCTCCTGCCTCTGCTCTGCAGTGCCCCCCAGTATCTATGGAGGAGAGTCGAAGCTGCTCCTGCCTCTGCTCTGCAGTGCCCCCCAGTATCTATGGAAGAGATGAGTGTCCCCCAGCTGGCTCCCCACTTGCCGCTGGGCTCCCTCCCATTCCCCCACCCACAGACCTTGTTCACCACCAGGAAGTTCTCTATGGTTTTCCCATTGGCAAAGACCATGTCTCCAGTGTCTTTCACAGCCTCAGGCAAGATCTCCTTCACCTCCTGAGCGATGACACCTGGGAGTGAGGGGCAAGCCAAAGATGGGCGGGGGAAGTGGCCGAGGGGACTGCTCACAGCTCTCTAATGTACTGTGGGAGCAGGATTGGAGAGGGTGAAGGAGCCCTGGAGCAGGGGGATGCCATGAACAAGTTTTCACAGAGGCTGGGGTGGGGCGGGTTCCCCGGGGCAAAGATCCCAGGGGTGGGTAGTACGCCGGCAAGTTAAAAGTAGGATTGATTTAGCGAGAAGGGTGAGGGTGCTGGGGCCGCGATTTTCGGATTTCCACTGACAACGGGGCGAGGTCCCGGGGACCTGGAGAGGCGCGATTTTCCAGGGTCTGAGGGGCGGGACTTCTAGAAGGCATGATTCCCAGGGGTGCAGTTCCGGGAGTCAAGAGGAGGGATTTCTAGGGGTAGGATTTCCAGGTGACAGGGAGCGAGGTCACTGAGGTCCGAGGTTTCTGGGTTCCCCGACCCCAGTCCGCGCCAGCCGGGTCCCTACCTGTCTCTGGCGCGGCGGCCTCGATGCCCGCGCTGGCGGCGAACTCGGGCTTGTATCTGTAGTGCACCAGCCGCATGCGCGAGATCCTCTTCAATTGCTCAGTGGTGTCCACCTGCGGGGAGCCAGGCCCGGAATGAACCCCTCCCCACCTGCGGTCGTCCCGGAGCAGGCCCCGGATCCCAGGAGGGAAGCCACCCGAGGCTGCAGTGTGGAGAAGAGACCCCGCTACTAGAGTCGTTACATCGGGATTCGGGGTCAGCCTCCCTCCCTTCCTTCCTCGGCAGCCCCGCCTTTCCGCGTGGCCACGCCCCTCCCCAGGAGACACGCCCCCGCGGTCCGCCCCAGCCTCTGGCCCCGCCCAGCCCCCCCCCCGCAGCCCCTTCTCACCTCCTGCACGTGCTCCTTGGCGCGCAGGTCCGAGGGGTGCATGAGCGAGCCCATGACCTTGACATTCCCGTGCACAACCAGCGCCTCGTCCGGCCGGTCTGTATTGATGCCCACGCGGCCGTGGTGGAAGACGGTGTCGGGCACCTGTGCCCGTTGCCACAGCACGTCGCTGTCGCTCTCGAACTGGCCTGGGTTGGAGGCCTACCGCGAATTGGAGCTGGATCAGTCCTGGGGGACAGGGGACCTGCAGGGCCCTGGGAGCAGGGGAAACACCACAGCAGCCCCTCCCCTTCCAGCCAGGTCTTCTCACTGCACCAAGCACAACTTAAACTGTCCCTCCCATTGTGACAACTTTTTGTCACTTGTGGGATCCCAGAAGCTACCAGGTCTTTGTCCACCCACCTGCTTTACTGTGGAGACCCTGCAGCCCTGAGAGGGTAGGAGCCTTGCCCAAGGCCACACAGCCAGTGCCTAGCAGGATGAGCACCCCCTCTCCTGACTCTCTGCATGCTACTTCTCCCAGCCCGGGCGAGGGCTGTCTACACCCTGGGGGGACCCGGTGGCCCTCACCCGCACGATGATTCGCTCTGAGATCTGGGCGGCCAGTGTGTAGTTCTGGTTCTGTGCGTGGGCCTGGAGGGCCACCACCAGCATGAAGTACCTGGGACACACAGGGGTCTCAGAAGCACTAGGGGCCTGCCCTCTCCCCGGGTCCACCCTTTCCCTAGCCAGATGCACGTTCATCTCACCCCATCCTACAGAGGAGGAACCCAAGCCTCCACCAAGGGGCAGAAATATCCCCCAGCCCACAGCAGGAAGCCAGGGCTGTTCCTCAACCCAGAAGCCAGGCTTCTGCTCTTCCCATCCTTAAGTCAGTGAAGGGCTCCAAATCTCAGGTCCCTCATCTGTGAAATGGCTCAGCCTGTAGGACTCTGTGCCTGGCAGGCCACACAGGGTGGTGTCTTCCTGCCTCAGAGACAGAGGGTCTCCGGGCAGGGCCCCCACCTGCTCACCTCTGGTCAGGGTTGGGCTTGCCCTTCTTCCGCATGTTGTTGGCAGTGGTCTCACTGAAGTGCAGCCGTCCCACCGTCACCTTTGTAACCTGCTCCGGGGGCAGACTGACCCTGCAGAGGACAGGCAGGGTGCTCAGAGGGGCAGGGAGGGAGGATGCCAAGAGCCATGCCGCTGAGGGGCACCCAGGCCAGCAACATAGGGGAGGCGGACGCAATGGGTGCCTCCCTGGCCCCTCCATTCCCAAGCCACCTCTAGGGAGGGCCCTTCGAGGTCCCAGCCCCAAAAGCGTCTAGACACTCACGTGACCGGGTTGAAGGGCCGCTTGCTCCGGTCTGACTGGGACTGCTCGATGTTAATGGACTGGTTCAGGGCCTCCAGCTGGGGGGAATGGAGCCAGTGGCACCTCGGGATGGGGCGCCCCAGCTGGTCCTGCCCTCCTGCCCCTCTCAGCCAGGCCTGGCCCAGCTAGAGTTCACCAGGAAATCGGGTAGCACCCAGCCCTCAACCCTGTTTCCCGCAGCTCAGTTCGATGCCTTCTGCACAGTCACACCCCCCCACACCCTACTTTACACCCACTGTCCTCACCCCTCACATCACACCACTCCCCCAACTTCTGCACAGCTACGAATGCAGTCACTCCCCAAACATCCACGCCCCCATTCCACACCCACACATTCCCCCACCTCTGCATGTGTGCACACACACATGCACACTCACACACACAGCCCCACCCTCCCTCACGTCCATACCCCCACCTCATAGCAGCCTCCCAGCTCAACCACTTGCACCCAGACCCACTCACTCCCCAGACCTCTCCATACCCATGTCCCCTCTACCACTCCACGTGCACTGGCAGAGCCGTTCCAAGGTGCCATGCCAGCTCACTTATGACAGACACCAAAGCCAACAGACCCAGCCATGCCCCCAGAGAACTCATAGACTCAAAATCAGCCACTACTGGGGTTGGGCTGTGGTGCCTCCCAGTGGGCCTCAGGGGAGGGACTCCTAGGGAGGGGACAGCGTGGAGTCTGCCTGGAGAGGAGGGATGGATATTGGGAAAGGCATCCAAGGCAAAGGGAGCCGCAGGGGGACAGCAGGGGCTGCGCTGGGCAGGAGAGGTTTGGGGTACCACAAGTGGCAGAGCTGGAGCAGAGGGCAGGGCCCCCAAGGCCACCGTGGTGCAGCTAGGAAGCTGGCTCTTTGCTGGCAGGACATTGGGGGCCTTGGAAGGATATCCTTAGAAGGATAGGGAGTGCCATGGACCCCTTGAGTCTCAAGTGGAGCAGGAGTTGGGGGTCCTAGCTGCTGTGGACATTCCAGCAAGGAAGGGAGGTGACCCAGACCAAGGGATGGACAGGAAAGAGGCAAGAAGGGGACCAGGTAGACGGATCTTCAAGAGCAGGGCCAGATGCATGATGATGGAGGCAAAGAGGGCCCTGACTCAGATTTATGACTGTGGTGACCAAGGCCCTGCGCCCCATTCCCTGAGAGGAGAGCCCAGGGTGGGAGGCAAGGGTGCAGGGAGTTTAGTTTAGGATTTGGAGCTGAGGCGCCTGTAGAGGGGTCAGGAGATTGGTCTTTTTTTTATGTTTTATTTTTGAGATGGAGTCTACCTCCCTCTGTCACCCAGGCTGGAGTGCAATGATGCAGTCTCAGCTCACTGCAACCTCCGCCTCCCAGGTTCAAGCAATTCTCCTGCCTCAGCTTCTCAAGTAGCTGGTATTACAGGCGTGCCTTATCACACCCGGCTAATTTTTGTATTCTTAGTAGAGATGCGGTTTCACCATGTTGGCCAGGCCGGTTTCGAACTCCTGACCTCAGGTGATCTGCCCACCTGGGCCTCCCAAAGTGCCTGGGATTGCAAGTGTGAGCCACTGCGCCTGGCCGAGAGATGGGTCTTGACTGGGATTGCAGACTTGGGAATCACAAGCTGGAGCAGGAAACGGGGCAAGAGGGAGGCAGGCTGAGGAGCCCAACGTTTAAGGGTCAGGCACAGGGAGAAATGTGGGTGGTGGCAGAGCCAGATCTAGTTTACACACGCACACATGCTTGCCTTTTTTTTTTTTTTTTTTTGAGATGGATGGAGTCTTGATCTGTTGCCAGGCTGGAGTGCAGTGGCGTGACCTCGGGCCCCTACAACCTCTGCCTCCCGAGTGTAAGCAATTTTCCTGCCTCAGCCTCCGAAGTATCTGGGATTACAAGCGGGTGCCACCACGCCTGGCTAATTTTTGTATTTTTAGTAGAGACGGGGTTTCACCATGTTGTCTGGTGGAACGGCAGGAGGCTGGTCTCAAACTCCTGACCTCAAGTGATCTGCCCACCTGGACCTCCCAAGGTGCTGGGATTACAGGCGTGAGCCACAGCGGCTGGCCATTGCTTGCTTTTTCTGGGGTCTTTCAGTGCCCTCCAGGGGCCCTCCTGCTCCCTTTCCTTGCCAAGACCCCAGCTTGCCTTCACTCCATGTAGCTTCAGGTAGAAGCAGTCGAGGGGCTTGAGGCCCTCAGGCGTCTTGACGTACTTGGGCTCGCCCAGCATGCCAATGTACACTGTCACCTGGAAGTGGTTCTTCTTCTGGCACACGAAGGCGTCGTCCCCCACCGAGAAGTTGAAGCCCTTGTCGGCGTCCACGCGGTAGGTGAGCATGGGCCTGGGGGGCAGGTGAGGGCACTCCCCTGAGGCCCCAGAGCCAGGCCTGGAACACCAGTTCCTCCCATCTTCGGGGTTCCAAAGCCGTTTCCCACCCCACACCCCTGCATCCTCAAACCACCAATGCAGCTGCCCCAACTCCTGAGAAATGGAGAGTGAGTGCCGGGAGGGTTCCACGACAGGACTGCAACCTCCTCCTCAGCATTCTCTCCTCTACCTCACGCCTCAGGCCACCACCCTGTCCTGGTGACGGGGGCCGCAGGACAAGACCCTGAGGCTCATCAGACAGGAGGGAACTCCTGAGTGGGAGGGGAGGGTGCTTGACTCCCCTCCGCACACTTTGCTCCTTCCCAGAAGGCTGCCTGAAGCCCCCTTGCTCACCCAAGAGGGGGCGAGAGGGGCTGCGTCTGCAGAGCCTCACAGAGCCTGACAGCTGGTTGCCCTGGAAACGGTGGAACCAGGCGCCTGCTCTGCTGCAGGCCCCGCCCCTGCCACCAGCTTGCTCAAACCCCCCATTCCCATTCCCTCCATCCTGGGGAGAGAAGGGGACACTCCTGGATGCTTCCTCAACCTCAGCCTTGGTGTGCCCATCTGTTTGCTGGGTTTAGTGTCCCATGTTTGGCCCCTTTGGGACACCTCTAGTTGACAGTGAAAAGAGCAACTGTTGGCCTGTGGCCCTCACTCAGGTCCCCAGGCACAAGAGTGGTCACAGGAGTGCCTGGTGCCAGCCTGGAGGAAGCTGGGCAGGGAGAACGCTTCCAAACTTGTGGAAAGAGGCCTGTGGGCCAGGCCAGTATTGCCAAAGGCTTGGGCTCTCCACTCTTCCCTCCTGGAGCCCCACCCACCTGCCTGAGCTAGCAAAGTACTCAGGAAGCTTTTGGGCTGCTTCCGGGGCTGCAGCTGCCAAGCTTCCTGGCCTTGGGACCTGGGGTGGCAAGGGTGGCCCAAAGAGTATGGGGGTAAGGGTAGGGGGCTTCGTCCCCATGCCAGAGAGGCTGGACCACTATACGACTACACCCCCACCTGGCAGGACCTCATGGGACCCTTCAGCCTCCACAGCAGCCAGAAGCCCCCAGCACTGGGGCTGCTGGCTAAGAATTCCCTCAAGGCCTAGAGCATCCAACTCCAGGCAGCTGGTCTCAGCCACCGGCCCAGGCCTGGCAATGCCCAGTTACCCTGTCACCTGTTCACTGGCCTTCTTGGGGGAGCCAGGGGAATGGTCCCCACAGGGCTCCCAGCCTGGGACCTGGGAAGATGGAGCCATCTGGGTGTGGAGGGGGCACTAGGAATGCTCACGTAGCCTCTGACCGGATGCTCCCCAGCCCCTCCTCCCTCTCTCCAGGGAGGGGGCTGCCGGGAGGGCCCAGCTTGGGCTCACCTTCCGGCTACCTTCCTGGAATGCAGGGGGAGGAGGCAGGGAAGGAGGAGCCAGGAAAAAACACCCATCCACCCACTTCTCCCTGACTTGGTTCCCAGCTGTCCCTCCCTGGCAGTCATCACCTTCTCAGGGAGGCCTTGGGCAGGCTTAGGACTCAGGAGCCCTGAGTGCCAGTCCTGGCTCTTCCCTGAGCCTGTTTGCTCTTCTGGGAATGGGTGCTCCCAGACCCTGCTCTGGGACCTTGATGGAGTCCTGGGCTGGGGTGTCCCAAGATGGGGTGGCCTGGAGGAGTGGGGAAAGGCACTGGGGACTCACAGCTCCTTGTAGTTGGCGTCGTACAGTGTTGCCCACTTGTTCTGCTGATGGGGCTGCCACTTGATGGACTGGTAGTTGGGGTCCAGGTAGGAGCCACTGAGGCTATCATTGTCCTGAAGGAGGCCTGGAGGGAGGGAACACCATGTGGGCCCTGCGCCCCGGGCCCCATACCCCACCTTGAAGGGTTGGCCAGCCACGTACCTGGGGAGGGGGCACCTGGTGGGTGCCAAGGCGGTGTCTGGACACGGGCAATGCTGAGAGGCAAGGAACCAGGGCCTGGGGAGAGTGGACCCTGGGGAGGCCAGGGTGGGGATGGGGCTCGAGTGGGATGCAGAGGCAGGGCTGTCACCGTCCCGGGCTCCTGTTTGATCATTCCATTCAGCATCTGGGCATTGAGGGTGCTGGGGGGGGATTCGGAGTGCTTTCTCTTCTTGGAGGGGTGTGTGGGGAGCCTAGGGAAACAGAAGAGTGTCCCATGGGGGCTGGCTCTCCCTGAGCCCCTCCCTCTGGGTAGTATCCACCTCTCTCCCCTCTTTAACCTATTTGGGCTAGGATACGCCCCACCCAGAAGACACCTCCTGCAGGAAGCCCTCAGGCTTTGCCTCCTCCTACTCCCCATCTATCCATGCTGACATTTTCTGCTTCCATCACTCTTCCCTTCCCCCAGACTGTGGACAGGAGCCACACCTGATTTGGTGTCTCCATCACGCCCAGCAACAAGGCTGGCTCATGGAATCACAGCAGTCGCTTGAGGAATGAATGAGTTTGTCCCTGCCTGCGTTGTCACACTCAAGGTCATACTTTATAGTAGGGGTGCTATGGAGAGCAGGCCCCATGATCAGAACCAAGCTGCAGAGGGCGTGGGCCACAAAAGCCAGGGAAAGGAGCTTCCTGGGGTGGGGAGTTTCGGGGGGACTCCGCAGCACCCCTTCCCTTCTGGCTTACAGAATGTTATGACTGCAGGACCTTCCTTTGAACTAAGCCTTTCATGGACTCTCCACACGATAAAGCAGATGAAAAGACAGCCGGTAATCAGAGTGGGGGGCTTGGGTCTAGGAATAAGACTCCTCAGAAACCTGAGGGTTCCAGGAGACAGCTGGAAAGCCACTGGGGTCTGGGTAACAGCACAGCCCTGGCTGGGTCTTGTCTTAGCTCTGCCCCTGGCTCATGGTCTGGGTGGAACATTTTCCCCATCAGAACCTCAGTTTACCTGCCTGTGCCCACTAGATAAGGTAGTTGTGAGCAATTAGCCATGGCTGTAAACCCCCCAAGGCATTGCTGGGCAAACGTGTGTAAATCCTTTGACCCCGATCTGCCCTGCAGAGCCTTCTGCTCTTCCTGGGTGCATCCCCATCCCTACCTCCCTCTCTGGCTTGCCTGCCGCCCACCCTGGTCCCTGCACCCCACCTTCCCACGCCAGGGAGCTGGCCGCCCACGTCTTACTCAGTTCCATGCTGCTGCAGGAGCTGGTGCAGCATCTGGGACTGTTGGGCGTGGTGGAGCTCAGTGGGCACCAGCCCCTGCCCCATGGCAGCGTAGGGAGGGATTGGGGGCTCAGCCTTCATGTACAGGTCCCGCTGCAGGACAGGGTAGTGCGGTGGGGGTGGTGGAGGCGGTGGGGGGCCTGGCAAGTGGGCTGGAGGTGGGGGCGGATGCTCCAGGCGGGAGGGCACTCCCACATGGCACAGCGTCTCAGGGGTTATTGTACGCAGGAGATGGGGTTCTGCAGGAGAGATGGGGAAGCAGGCATCTGAGACCAACGTCGCTCAGGCTCCTGGGCACCATCCTCCCTAACAGTCTTCTGCTTCCACCCCATCCTGGGCCAAGCCTAGGGGCTGCCCCCGATCTACCCCAGGTAGGAGGGTGGTTGATCAGCCACCCACTAGAGGCCTCAGCAGGGGCATGACCCTGCCAAAGGGAGGACAGCCCTTCACCCCATCCTAGCCACCTCCTGCCCCCAGGCTGGGCCAGGGGATCCAAGCCAAATCTCAAGCCCCCGCCCCCCAACATTGTTCCCCTCTCCTCTGAGGCCTGCTCCTCCTCTGGGCCTCAGGAAGGAGTCTCTGGAGACCCCCAGGCCAGGCCTGCTAGGTGCTCCTCCCTCTGGCAGGCAGCCCCTCTACTGGGTTCCCAGGGGCCAGCCCCCCAGTCTGAGCAGGGAGGCCCCAGCTCCCTTTGTTCCCCAGGAGGCATTCCAGGGATGTTTTTGGTAAGATAAACAGAACTCTTGACCCCACTCTGGGCTGCGGGGAGCCTGCTGCCCGTGGTGGTTCTGCTCTTGGCCACCTGGGGGCCGGGGCACCCCTGAGCACCCTCTCAGCTGAGGTGGGCCCGGCCTGGGAAGCCTGTGCTCAGGCTGCACCCACGGCCTTCCCCAGCCACCCACTTACCGCCGAAGGGCGCGTCCATGATGGCGCAGGCGGGCAGGCGGGTGGCATCACGGCGGGGATACTTGCTCAGAGGCAGGGCCAGGCTCCCCACCCGCCCGTGGGGAAACAATAGCCAAGCGCCGGGGAGTATTTGACCAGCGATAATCTCAGCCCGTTGGGCAGCAGCTGGCCCACTCCCTCCTCCCCTACTTCCCCGATAAGGCCGCCCCAACCACTTGCCCAAACCCCAGAGCGGGGAGGGTGGTGCCCGCTGGACTCACCATTCACCTGCTGGGGGGAGTAGGCCTCGGAGCCTGAGTCTGGGGGAGAGTCCGGCAGTGTGCTGTGAGAGCCAGGGGGAGGGGCCGGTGGGTGAGCAGCTGAGCCCCTGCCTTCCAGCTGGGCAGCTCCTCTGAGTGGCAGGGTCCCAGAGCCCCCCCAGAAGCTGGGGTCACATACACCCTTAGGGGCATTTCTCTGCACCACCCTTGTTGGGGCACCTGACAGGGCCTGGGGCTGAGGGGGCCACTCAGGATGCCCTCAGACCAACTGGGCACTTGGGGGACAGTTACTAGTGTCCCTGATGATGGCACAGGGGCTCAAAGGTTCCTGCCCCAGTCCAAGGCCTTCTTCTCCCTTCCTGCACCCACTGAAGCCCCACAGCTTCCTGGAAATGCAGGGCTCTAGGGGGCTGGGCCTAGGGTGTTCAGCGGGTCACAGAGGCTGCCCCACCAGAGGCAGGTGTGGACTGGGAAGGGAGCCAGCACCACCGGGCCTGGGTTTATTTTTTTCTTGCAGGTTTCACTTTATCAGTGTTCAGGAAAAAGAACAAACTCAACCCAAGAAGTCAACACGTCCTGCATGAACTCTGTGCTCGCCCAGCAAGTGGGAGGCTGAGGCCATGTGGGATCCAGCTCTGGCCATACCTGGTCCCCACATCTGGAGCAACTCCCCATTCCCATGCCCAGGGAACTGCCAGAGAAGCCATGGCCCTGTCATGGACACAGCCCCAGGGCTGGTTTCAAAGCCCCCTGCACCCCTGTACCAGCCGCCCACCCGCCTTCGGGGCCTTGGGTAAAGACCTATATGGTTCAAGAACTTGGACCCTGCAGGTTTTGTGTGAATAATACAAAAACGTGGATGGGGACTCAAACCTACTCCTCGCCACAGCCTCAGGCCCCTTGGTCTGCCCAGTGCCTTCCTGCCCTTCCCTGACAATGGCCTTGGCTTCTGTAATGTGTCAGGGTCTTTCACACCCTCCAGTCCCTGCAGCCCGATGCCCCAGGTCCACAGGACCTTGTGTTCTTTCCTCTTAAATTTCTGTGGCATCTGATTAGTCCTCTTTGGGGGGCTGTATTGGTGAATACCTCTCCCCAGTTAGGCTTCAGGAGCCACTGCAGAGCCACGTCTGTCTTGTCTTTTTTTTGGAAACAGAGTCTTGCTCTGTCGCCTAGGCTGGAGTGCAGTGGCGCAATCTCTGCTCACTGCAACCTTCACCGCCCAGCTTCAAGCGATTCTTGTGCCTCAGCCTCCCAAGTAGCTAGGATTATAGGCATGCACCACCACGCCCAGCTAAGTTTTGTATTTTTAGTACAGAAGGGCTTTCGCCATGTTGCTCAGGCTGGTCTCGAACTCCTGGCCTCAAGTGATCTGCCCACCTTGGCCTCCCAAAATCCTGGGATTATGCCTGTAATCCCAGCACTTTGGGAGGCCAAGGTGGGCAGATCGCTAGATTTTTTTTTTTTTTTTTTGAGACAGGGTCTCTCTTTGTCCCCAGCAGTGGCATGATCACAGCTCACTGTAACCTCAACCTCCCTGCCCCAAGCTATTCGCTCACCTCAGCCCCCCAAGTAGCTAAGATTACATGCGCACGCCACCACACCCAGCTAATTTTTGTATTTTTTTGTAGAGATTGGGTTGCATCATGTTGCAGGCTTATCTTGAACTCCTGGGGTCAAGCGATCTGCCTACCTCGGCCTCCCAAAGTGCTGGGATTACAGGTGTGTGCCACCACGCCCAGCCTCATGTCTGTCTTGTTTATCACCTAGACTCAGGCCTGGCCCTGGGTCCCTCCCTAGAGTGGCCCTGGCCACAGAGTCCCTGTGTGGCTCTGGACAAGCCTCTTTCCCTCTCTGGGCTTCAGTGTGCCATTAGGATCCTGATGGGAGCAGTGGCCAGGGCTCCTTGTGGGGTCTCCCAGGAGCTGGATGCTGGGGAAGGCTGATGAGCTCACACAGCCACAGGCATGTGATAGAGCAGCTGGCACCAGCAGGCGCTTACTAAATGTTACTTCTCCTCCCGCTCCCCACAAGGGCCTGTAGCTTAGGAAAAGCCTCATGGCCTCGAGCAAACAGTTTGCCTTCTGCAGCAAAGGTTCACCCCTGGGACCCCAGGCCTGGCCTCCACTACCTTCTCCCCAGAAGCCAGGGAGCTCAGGAAGCATGGCCAGCCATGTCAGTGGCCACCGTGTACCCAGGGCTTCCTCTGTGCCCTCACTTGCTTCCCAAGATAATCTTGAAGGGTAAGCATTTGGGGGCTCACTTTATAGCAGAAACTGGGTTGGCCTGGCACGGTGGCTCATGCCTGTAATCCCAGAACTTTGGGAAGCCAAAGCGGGTGGATCAACTGAGGTCAGGAGTTTGAGACCAGCCTGGCCAGCATGATGAAACCCCGTCTCTACTAAAAACACAAAAAATTAACCGGGTGAGGTGGCGCACGCCTGTAGTCCCAGCTACTCAGGAGGCTGAGGCAGGAGAATCACTTGAACCCGGGAAGCGGAGGCTGCAGTGAGCCAAGATGGTGCCACTCCACTCCAGGCTGGGTGACAGAGCAAGACTCTGTCTCAAACAATAATAATAATAATAATAATAATAATAATAACAAAATCAACTTAAGAATGTGAAGAAAAAAAAAAACAGACCGTGGGTTACTGAGGCAGAAAGCTGACACATGTGGAGGCTGAAGTTGAAGCCAGGCTGTCTGAACACAGCATTCATGGACCCAGTGCTTTAATTCTCTTCCACCTGGAGACAGGGGCCCTACCCTTGCCCTGTGCTCCCCTGCAGACCCATGCTCCCTGCCTCCCCTGTGAGCATGTGTCCCAGGGGGCTGTCTTGGGTCTGGCTGGGTGGGTGGCTGCCTGGAACCTTTGGTCAAAGCCAGGCCCAAGGTTCAGCCCTGGGTCAGGCCCCTGGTATGGACTCCTCAGAGATGGGGGGAAGGGCCTGGGACGAGGAGTTCAGGCTCCAGGAGGCTTGCTTGGGAAGGGGGGAACTGAGGTGCCACATCTGAGCCATCGGCCAACTCTCATGGCCACAGGACATGTCAACCGGATGCGTGAATTCATGGGGGCCGGCGCAGTGAAGGGCATTTAGGGGCCTGGCATGTGTGCCCGGGTTCCAGGTGTTCCCATGAAGGTAAACAGTCATGGCCTCCAGTCCTGCCCCCTCCAGTCCTGCCCCCTCCCGTCCACTCTCCACACAGCCCTGAGATTTTTCTAGCACTTACGTCAGCCCTCATCACTTCCCGGCTTAGAAGCTTCGCGGCTGCCCACTGCCTTAGAACAAAGCCCAGGAATCGCCCCTCGGCTTGGCCCTGTCCTCCCCACCCTCACCTGCCCATGCACAGCCGGTCACCCAGCCCATCCCATGCCAGGCCAGCATCCAGCACCCCGATCCCTGCCTGCCCAGGCCTCCACATCCTCCCACTCCCTGCCCTCACTCACCCTGGGGCATAGGGAGCCTTGGTCTCCGCCTTGATGGGGGGCCCGGCGCCCCCTGGGTAGGGCTTGGGGGCGGCACCCATGCCGTTGTTGTTGTTGCAGTTCAGGGGGGTGCCATAGCTCGGGGGTGGGAGGGGACCATGGCGCCCCGGGGAGGGTCCACCCCCATGGGGGCTCAGGTGGTGGACCCCGCTGGATCCGGGCATCGTGGGCTGCCCGTGGGAGTAGGAGGCAGAGCTGGCTGGAGCAGAGATGTCAGGGAAGCAGCTGCAGGGAAGGGGGGCTGCTCAGCTCCAGCCAGGACCCCGGACCCAGCAGGGAAGCAGCCACCCCCTCCCTGCAGGGAACTGTTGGGATTTCGGAGTCAGTGGCTGGGAAGGGATGAGGAGTGGCTTTCAGAAATGGGACTATGGAAGACCCCAGGTCCGGCCCTCAGACCTCCCAGGTAACAGAAGAGAGGGGAAGGGCCGGGGGCTGGGCGGGTGCAGGCCTGGGGAGGGCCACTCACAGGTCAGAGGCATCCTCCTTGCTGATGTATTCCTCCAGGATGCTGGTGTCTATGTTGGAGGGCTCCAGGGCACCGTTGATGTCGTGGCCTGAGGGGCAGAGAGGTGGGCTAGGGAAGGGGCCCAGTTCCCTGCAGACCCTGGGTGACAGGGCCCAGCCCTCCATCCCTGCCCAGGCTGGCCCTCCAAAACAGATGCCCCCGCTTCTTCCCATCGGGTATCCATGCGGGGTGGGCTTCCTTTCCAGGAAGCACTGATAATGCCCCACCCTGCCACAAGGCTACTTTCAGTCTTGGAGGAGGGAAGGGGCCCAGAGCATGGGTCTGGGTACAGAGAGGCCGATCCTGCCCCTCCATGCCCCTTTCTAGCTGCGTGACAGGGAGCAAGTCTTTCCTTGTGACAGATGGGGTCACTCTCCATCTGTCTTCTGGGGTACTGTGAGGCACAAATGAGGTGCTTACTAAGTCGAGAGCCCCATGGGTGGTCCACTGCCCTTGATAGGGTGGCTTGGACCCAACATGCACTGTCCTGCCCTGTCCTCCAGGGGTCAGTTCAAGAGGGCCCAGCTCCAGGCATGCGAGAGCACAAGGCCTGGCTGAGTGGGACCATATATCCTGGGGGCCCACAGGGCTCCGGGAGCCTCCTGCACCCAGGCCCTGGCTGCAGGAGGAGTGGGGATCAGAATCACGAGAGCCCCCCACACCCTCACTGGATATGCCCATCACCCTCTGGGGCACAGGCTGGGGTACTTAGCCCCTTTTTCCAGAGGAGGCAGAGGCCTAGAGAGAGAAGGGCTTGCCCCAGCCACCCAGCAGGGAATGATGGCTGCCAGAGCTCCACTCCTCCGCCGGCCGCCCTCTCCTGGGCCCTTGGCGCTGGCCCCGGCCCCATCAAGGGGAGGAGCCCCTGGAGGAAAGGCAGCCAGCGCTCTTGGGCATCAAGAGGAAGGACAGGGGAGGTTCCGGCCTTTCGCCTCCCTGGGTCACCTTGCAAGGGGAGCCAGAGGGCAGGGTGATAAGGGGGCTGACGTGGGAGATGCGTCAACGCCGATAATGGAGGACAGCCTTACCCACACTGCTGACCTGGGCTGGCCAGCGCCACTGAGGCAGGAGGGCCCCTCCCACAGGCCACTGGAGCCTAAGTCTGGGGTCTGCCCTCTCCTGTTGAGCTCAGACAGGCCCAGGAACAAATCCTGGCTCAGCTGCTCCCTGCTGTGTGACCTTGGGCAGGTCACATGCACTCCCTGAGCCTCAGTCTCCTCATTCGTGCAATGGGGACATGTCCTGCTGTCGCTTCACAGAACTGTTTTGAGTATGAAACAAGATTCAGTCTGTGAAGTGCTGGCCACATAGTGGGTGCTCAGTGGTCGCAACAGCCGTCTCACTTCCCAGCTCCAGAGCCCTAGGGTCCCCGGGAGCCCCCTGCCCAGGCCCCTCCCTGGCCCCAGCCGGCATTTCAAGAATGCTGAGCCCCGCTTAGGTGATTAATGAGCGGCTAAGCCCTCCTAGGAGTCACGCGCTGTCTGCGACAGGCCAGGGCCCTCCTGCTGACCCCCACCCCCGGCTCGCCCAGCTAGGAACAAGGGACACCCACCACGCAGCGCCAGTGGCTGTCCTGGGCGGTTCGGCCAGGGCAAGAGCAGCTTCCCAAGCTGGGCGTGGCCAGTCTGCGTGCCTAGGTTCCAGGACCCCGCCTCTGCTCAGGCCCCACCCCGCCTTTCCCATTAACCACGGGCCAGATTTATTGAGTCCCTACTGTGTGCCAGGCACTTTGTGAGTCAAGTACATTAATAATCACAGGAATTTCTTTTCTTTTGAGACGGAGTCTTGCTCTGTCACCTAGGCTGGAGTGCTTCGGCGCAATCTCAGCTCATTGCAACCTCCGCCTCCCAGTTCCAGGGATTCTCCTGCCTCAGCCTCCCGAGTAGCTGGGATTCCAGGCACCCGCCACCATGCCCAGCTAATTTCTTGCATTTTTAGTAGAGACGGGGTTTCACCGCGTTGGCCAGGCTGGTCTTGAACTCCTGACCTCAGGTGATCCACCCGCCTCAGCCTCCCAAAGTGCTGGGATTACAGGACTAATCACAGGAGTGTCTTAGGCACAAGGCATCCTGCGGGCTCTTCACCTGCAGCGTGTTACTCAATCCTCACAGCCAGAATGGTGACCATGACAGAGGCAGTGACGTGACCCTGACTTATACTCAGTATCTTCCAGTGCTTCTCAACTCCTCATGGTGATGATGACAGTGACAGTGGCTGTCACTTGATGTCTTCCTCTTGATGCCCAAGAGTCCTGCCTGCTTTCTTGCACTGTTCTCCCTGTCAACCATGGGGATGGTGATAATAACACCACTGTTCAGAGAGGCGACGTGATCACTATCCCCTCTGTTCAGAGAGGTCAAGTCTCTTACCCAAGGCAACACAGGAAGGAGAATTCCAACCAGGTGCAGGGGTCTGATTCCAAGGGGGAAGGTGTGGCTGGTGGGTGCTGTGCCTTCCTCATCCCACCTGGTGCATCGCCCCCACCCTGGCTGCTGAAGCTGCAAGTTTTTGAGCCTGAACTTGGAATTTACAGTGAATGATGGGCTGAGGCAGGCATGGCGTTGCTATTTATAATAGGCCCAGCCCCCTCCCCTCCTGGCCAGGAGCACTCCTAATCACCCCTAATCCTCCTACCCACCTCCCTCAGGATAGGGGGCCTCAGGCAGAGGCATCCTGGGAGACCCTAACGAGAACCAGATGTGCTTTGGGGGAGGAGGGACCCTCCGGTGCCAGGGTCTGGGCGGCCGGAGGACGGAGGAAGGAGGTGGGAGGAGGGAGCCGATGGGGCAGTGTTAGGGAGGGCCAGTGGGTGGGGGAGAAGTTTGAGGGTTGGGGGCTCAGAGGGCCTCCTGAGGAACGCTGACCCCACACCTTCTCCTGGAAGCCCTGGAGGCTGCCTCGTCTATTCCCCACGCCACTCGGCCCCCAGCCCGCCTACGAACCACACTGGAGATTTCTAACAGACATTCCAGGAGGACAAGCTGAGGGCGGGGGCTTGCCAAAGCCCAGGGATTGCTGAGGCTGAGGGCAGAGCTCCCAAGAACCCAGGACAGGGATAGGGTCCCATGGGCACACTCTTGGGAGCACCCCTCCCTAGTGCTCCCCAAAGAGCCCCAGAGCATCACTGGAGCCCAAGCAGGGGTACCTGCCAGGCAGAAAGCGGAACAGAGGCCACATGCTCATTATGATCCTCAAGACCTCTCTGAGGGAAGGGAAGCTGCTGAGAGAAGGGAAGTGGGGCCTGCCAGAGGCTGCTCAGGGCCCAGCAACCCGAACACAGCAGCATGAGCTCACAAACCAGCATCTCTGTCCTTGCCTCCTCAAACCTTTCAACTACTTCCCACTGCTTGGGAGAAATGCAGAGCCCTCTGCAGTCCAAGGCCTGTGGCATGGTCCCCTGCCTGCCCCCACAGCCTTGTCCCTTCCCCAGGTCCCCTTCCTTCCCTCCTCTCCCTGGTCAGCCCCTGCCTCCTTTCCATCCTCCGCCCCACATCAGGCCCTTGGTGCATGCTGTTTCGTGCTGTTTCCTGAGCCTGAGAAAGCCGGGTCCTATTCATGCTTTAGGTTTTGACTTAAATGTCAGTTCCCCCAAGAGGCCATCTCTGACTCTCCCCTTCTCTTTAGCAGGGGATGGAGGAGCGGCAGTGGCGCTGTAATTCCTCATCAGCTCTTTATCCTCCCGTCTCCATGTATCTCACTGGGCAGCATGGGTGTCTGTCTACCGCCCACCCACCACCCACAGCTCACTCACCCAGTGGCCACTCTGTGCCCAGCCCCATGCCATGAACTTTACATGGCTCATATTGAATTCTCATCCCAACTCTACAAGGTAGGTGATTTTCTTTTTCTTCATTTTACAGACGAGGAAACAGAGGCTCAGAAAAGATGAGTGCATGCCTGTAGCTTACGGGGCAGATGCTGGGCTCTGAACGCTGCCCTATTCTGTGTCTCTGGGATATAGTACCCCAGCACACAGCAGGCACCCAGGAAATGTTTGCGGAGTAGATGAGCCAAGTGGTCATCGAGGGACCTCGGCCAGGCCATGCTGTGGCCAGGGCCAAGGGTAGCCAGGGCCCCTCCAGGTCCCGCCCCTGCCCTGCTGAGCTGTGTACCTCAGCTGTTCCTCATTAATTAGGCCCTTTATTACCTGCCTGGAACAGGAGCCAGACACTGCCCCTTCCCAGGCAGGCTGCAATCCCGACTATGGGAAGGCAGCCCCCTTCCCTCCCTCTTCTCTCCTCCTCCCTTTAAGGCCACCCAGCTGTCCAGAAAAGGAACGGAGGGCACCCAAACCAGGTGCAGGATGAGAGCGAGCAGGGGCCCAGGTGGTCCCTCCACCCAGGACCCTCCCTTTTGCCCCTCCTCGTGCTCATGTTCCCCCCCACCCACCAGCTGTGGCCTCTGGCTGAGTCTCGGCCATTGTCCCGGGGGACGGGGGAGGGTGGGGACATGGCACAGTGGGAGGCTTGTGCCCTGCCCACCCCCTCCCCTGCCCCGTCAATGGGGCACTTGTCAATTCATGCCCCAAACATGGCGGAAATCCCGTCAGCCACGTGGCTGTGGGTAGGGTGGGCTGGGGCCCAAGGATGCTGGCCAGGCCTGGTCGACCTGAACCCGGGGTGCAGAGGGCACCAGGGCCCAGGCTGGTGCTCTGAATGTCCACTTGGGGCATCTGAACCTGAGGGATGCCCAGCTCCAGGCAGCAGCTGAGGGCCAGGGTGGTAGTGGAGAGGAGACAGCCCACCTGGACATTACCATGATGCACAGAGAGACCCCCAGAGTCAAAGAGGCCTGGCTTCTAATGTGAACCCCACTTCATGGCTGTGACCCTCAGCAAGTGACCTGAGCCCTGGCCTCCTCCACCATCAGACAGGGCATGAATCCCTGCGATGGAGTGAGCCTTAAGCCAGGAGGCCATTCCTCAGTCAGGGTCAACCGCCCTGTTTCCATGTCTTCTGTGACTCCATCTCCTTCCTGCCCTCATGCCTCTGCCCAGGTGTCCCCTCCCCCGAGGCCTCTCCGCCTTGCTGCACATCTGCTCCGGAGCCT